CCTGACGCAGTGCCGGCCTGTAGCCGCGCTGTGGAATCCTGCTCTGCGAGCCACGGGCCACTGCTTGGAGCCCAGCGTCAACAGCGACGTGGCCCTCGCACAGTCGGTCTTCTTCTGCCTCGCCGATGTCATCTTCGCCGTCTTCCCCCTCAGCTTCCTCTGGAACCTCAAGATGAACCGCCGGACCAAGTCTGCCCTTGGTTTCGTGCTCAGCTTGGGTTTGATGTACGTTTGCACAAGTTGCTTTCTACTATCTCTATTCCTACTGACCATCTAGTGCCGCCGCATTCGGCGTCGTCCGGTGCGTCGTCCTGCAGGAACTCGGCAGCCGGGCCGACATCCTTTTCTCGACCGTCGACCTGGCCATCTGGTCCTTCCTCGAGCAGAACGTGACCATCATCGCGGCGTGCATTCCCGTGCTGTACACCGTCTTCCGTACACTGCTGGGCATCGTCAGCACCAAGGCGTCGCGCTCGACGGGGCGCGGGACCACGCAGCGCCGCAAGTACGGCTACGACTCGACGTACGGGACGGGCTCGCGGCTGGATCGCAGCGCCTACCGCGAGATCGACTACGAGATGCAGGCGACGGGACGGACGGTCGCTGTTGTGGGAGGGAGGACCAAGACGGCCTCGGATGACGTCTCCAGCGAGGATGAGATCCTAGCTAATGGCGGTGTGGGCATTGTCCGGACGACAGAGATGGTGGTGTCGTCGGATTTTCATCCAAGTAGCTGAGAGGATACACCAGATGGACGTGGTTTGTAATCTTAATATAAGTTTGTGGTATGGATGTTGGTTTACGGCTCGGGTCATGGTTATGCTAATGTCCACGTGTACAGCAACTTTCTCTTCTTGTATTAATTCTTAACTAGAAAGATCAAAACAAAAAGGAAACCGTTGAGAACACATCCTATTACTCAATTCAGATGATATCAGTTGTGTACGGAGTAAGCTATATAGATATCCGTCGTACTGTCTAACTAAAGCTTACGATACTATATCGACAAATAAATGATTAATCGATAATACCTTTCTTGCTATGGATATCATTTATACACAAATCGACAGAGAATTGTGACTCGCTTGAACTACTGCTCTGGCTAGACAGACATGATCTGCCTGCTTGATCTGTGCGTCCAAGCCAATATCATCAATTAATTAGACTACTGTTCTGTGCTCACTTCGCAGCTTAGCAACTAGGCTTAGGTTACGTCCACACCCTAGCTAGGGCTGAGACTAAGCCAAGACAAGGCTAATAGGGATGTGATGCGCTTGCGGAAAATTGCCGGGAGATTAATAGTGCTGATTAATTTGATTAATTACGTATGTATGTACATTACAGTACGTGTGTCGAAGCTCAGCTAAAAAGGATAGAGTCTGCAACATGTTGGCGTCTTCTGACACAGTGTGGTTTTTATAAAATTCTTTCTATTACTCTATCCTTAGACAGAGTCATGCTACAGGTACAGTACATGATGTTGTATACAGTACAGTCGACGAGCATTTAACACGGCAGTTTTAGGTCAACCTATCTGCGTCCTGGTTTAACTTGTGGCCATCCATGAAATAATAATTAACACAAGTATTGTCGATCGATCGATAGATGATCACTCACAAGACAGACGAACTGTGGAGCCATCAAGTCGATCAGCGCGAATTCTCGGAATCTCGGTACATGAATGTAAAACTAAAATAGTCTGATGTACAGTACGATGGCTGGGCCTGGAGATTCACGGAATGTCGGCTGTGCTCTACTCCTCCCCCACTAGATTGGCAGATCTTTGCTCTTAGAGCTTGCGGTCTTGCAGCTTGCTCAGGGGCAGACAGACAGAGGGAAATCCTTGCTTCGTGTGCCCTATTTCCAGGGACAGCAATTCCTCCGCACGTGGGAGAGTAATCTTTCATGTCCGTGGATAGTCTAGGTAATATGTTCTCAATGCATCCGTTGCAATGCATCCCATGTCCCACGTTCCACGGGTTGCGTCAGACCGAATCTGTACTGCAACAATGATACAACCGTGGTAGTTGCCTGAGGAAGACCCGTCGATTAATTTCCAGAAGCCTGATTTCCTTGCTCTTGCCAATGCAGAGTTATAGTTATAGCTCGGCCAGGATCATTAAGCTCTCTAGAAAATGTCTGGGACAAGTTTGATGTCAATGTCGATGTGACCCTGTGTCTGAAGTATGCAGGGGAGGAGAATAATAGTGTGCTGCAAGAATGATAGTAAGCTTAAGTCGTGTCTGATAAGCGCTCGAATAGGGTTTGTGTCGTGCACACTAGACTAGGTCTATTGATCCTTTGTCAGGTAAGGTACTCTCTAGTGTGAATAAAGCTGATTCGGGCTGTGGTGGCGCAAATCGAGGCAGTCTCATAAGAGGGGAACTAGTTGAGAGGAAAGCAACAAGCAACGAGGTTAGTGCAGGTTTTCATTTACAAGTTTAGCAGGGTACTGTAAAATTTAAATTACTCTGTTGGTATTGCATTTTTGAGAGAAAACAATAGTTTGCATTTGTTATCTCGATTATTGCTGTCGTTCTATATATAATGCTTATCTTTATATTTATGTTAGCAATATGCAAAGTCATCTTTGTATCTTCGTGCTTCAGCTACGTTACTTTCCTACAGTGCGATGACATGCCAGACTCTCTAGAGACACTAATCTTTGTGGCAGATAACCAACACTATCTCGCACAAATAACCAGCAGCCTGATAGGAAGAATCCATGGTAAATATCCACGTTTCCCTGTCTGTCTGTTTTTGCTGCAAATTGGTACTTTACGGAGAAGATGTCTGTAGATATAGAATTCATTTTTTGCTGGGAAAATGAGGGAATATTTAGGATCTTAGGATAGAACAGCAGCTGGTACAGTTACAAGGTCAGATTCGTTAACAATATGTCTACGACATATGAGTGTGGTTATCATATCTACGGCCACAACTCCTCTGAAATTATGGACATATATCTTTACCTTGCAGCACTAGCACACATCCATTTGTTGACCCCTGCGGAGTTAGATGAAAAGTATAGATTTTTACAGATCGAACTCTGCAGTCACACTGTCCTGTTGATGGGCGAGCGCCCTGAGCTCACAGTGAGCTTTACAGCTAGATATCGATGATCAACTCAAGGATGAGAATATTCGGTTTATATTTGTCTGAACAAAAACGTGAAACAGTAGAGCAAGCGGAGTCTGAATTTGGCGTAGGTTGAACCACTTAAATCGACTGATCCGGCTGCTTTGTGACAGACAATTCTTCTCTATCTAATTTATACTGAAGAAAGGATACTATAGATTGTTTCTTACCGTTCCTATTAGATAGCCTTAAAAACCCGGCGCCAACGGTCGTCCTACTCGATGACATCCAAACGCGGTCTTACTCCGGATAGACGAGTTCCAACCTCAAGCCCTCTATGATTTTTCTTCAGCTTGTCAATTGCAGATTATTAGTCAATTGGTGATCTACACCAGCAAGAGCTGTATTCTGGAGATATGAATTGTTCAGAAATCATAAAATGGAGAGGCGTGTTCTGAAGGAGGAAGAAAAACGAAGAAGAGGAAATAGATATTCCCCTAGTCAAGCGATCTGATTTAGCTGTAGATGCCTTGATAAATAAAAGATACACCAATCCCTTGATGTTCGTCGCAGATGATTGTATCCACGACGGACCATGGAATGAGGGTATGTGCCTACATGGACTGCAACATCCCTGCCCGCGATGCTACGGAGTGAATGTCTGCTATCTGGCAGAAGAATCGCGAACATGCCAAGTCATGGGGCCACTTTCCACAACTGATTGATCTCTTATTCCGTTATTATTCCATTCTGGTTTAGTACAGACAAGAAGGCGCAGACAGACTTGATAAGAATATTCAGTCCTTGGAAGAGGAGCTGATCTCAATTCTCGATCCTGGTTAGCGCAAGAAGTACAGACCCTATCTGATGAGCAGGCTCATGCCATTGAATCTCATTCTTTGTCTTTAATGGTAAATACAACGTCAAGAGATAAAAAAGAATTAGCAGTGAGGACCTGGTGATACTACACAATTCCCCACATGCTAGCAGCAAGAAAATAGTGGGGTAGCACTAGCATTAGCACTATGTGGAGGGTTGATGTGGAGAGTTGATTGTATCAGATCAAGTACGGAGTACTCCTTTTTGTCTGGCGACACTTAAAAGAGCTCCTTTGAGAAGAAATATACTGTGAGAGTGGTTGCTACCAGTTCATGCCACTCAATTGATGCCGTCTGCCTGTATCATACTAGCAATGGCTATATCTGAAAACAGACGAGCTCATTGAATTCGACTGATATGACATTCTTAGGGCTTCGGGATGGAATATGCCGAGTTCCCCTCATTCACATCACATGACCTATTTCTCCGCATTCTTAGTCCGAAGTCGGATACATGTCTTTATATATGAAATGAGCAGTCTACATTAACTAAGGTATGTAGTGTATGTAGGTAGTGATTTCTCGCCATGCCCCCCATCACCTGCAACTTTGCGTCCGCCCTCTACGACCGCATGGTCCCGCTGGCATCCGGCGAGGTGCGGGCTCCCGGGCTGAACGTCAACTTCATCGAGGTCGAGCATCCACGCGACATCTTCGACCGTATGGTCGCCAACCGCGAGTTCGACGCCTCAGAGCTGTCGGCCTCGGAGTACATCACGCGATACGTCTCGGGCGACCGGTCGTTTGTGGCCATCCCCGTGTTTCCGTCAAGGGTCTTCCGCCACGGCTTCATCTGCGTCAACACCAACAAGGTCAAGGAGCCCCAGGACCTCAATGGCAAGCGCGTTGGCGTACAGCTGTACACCATGACTGCCGCCGTCTGGATCCGCGGCGTGCTGCAGCACGAGTACGGCGTCGATCTGTCGTCTATCGAATGGGTCGAGGGCAAGATGGAAGGCCCCGGGTCGCATGGCAAGCCGTCTACCTTGCCTCCTCTGGCGCCGGTCAAAATCACCCGCAACACAGACCCGACCAAGTCGCTGTCCGATCTGCTGGAATCCGGCGAGATCGATGCGACCATCGGCGCCGACGTGCCCGCGTGCCTGGGCCGGGCGCCGCATATCCGGCGACTGTTCCCGGACTTCAAGAGCGTCGAGAAGGACTACTATAAGCGCACGGGGATCTTCCCAATCATGCACCTGGTCGCGCTGCGGCGCGAGTACTACGAGGCGAATCGGTTCGTGGCGTCGGCGCTGTTCAACGCGCTGAACGAGAGCAAGGAGCTGGCGCGCAGGCGGATGGAGTCGCTGGGCGCGCTGCGCTACATGCTGCCGTGGCTGCCGCAGGAGCTGGACGACATCCGCGAGGTCTTTGGCGAGGATTGCTGGCCGTATGGGCTGGAGGAGAACCGTAAGACGCTGGAGGCGTTGGTGCAGTTCCTGTACGAGCAGAGCATGATTGACCGGATCATGCCGATTGACGAGCTGTTTGCGCCGGTCAGGAAGATCAACTTTAAAATTGGGTGATCTAGACGAGTTTACAAGATATGCAGTTTTCAAGTTTTGATATTCACACAGATCCTCTATTGAATACATATCAAACACAGATGTTTACAACCGCCCTCCATAAATCACACATCAACAAGACCTATACTACTATCAGTACACTCTCTCACGCCTAAAAAGCTGCAACTCACCCAGCTGGCAGCCCACAATTCGCCGTAACAGAAGCCATCCCACTGGGGAAAACAAGCACACCATCCTGATCCGCGATCGGCACGCACGTCGAATCCGTATCCGGATTGATGAGGAACGTGTTAATATCCCCCGTGCACCCGGCGCCAGTGAAGAATTCCACCGTGCAGAGCTCGCCGGGCCCGGTCTCGAACAGCGCGCCGAAGTTGCCCGGCTCGGAGAAGGTGAAGCACGACAGGTCGCCGCAGATGGGGCCGTTGTTGACGAAGGGTCCGGCGCAGGCGCCGTCTTGGGTGACGGCGATGGTGAGGCTGGTTGCGAGGGGTGGTATGATGGTGAGTAGAAAGGTGTAGAGGGGTTTCTAGTGCTGTTAGTTATTGTATGAAAGAAGGAGAGGTAGGAATCACCATTTTGGACAGATACTAAGATTCAGACAGACACGAGATATCATTCTGCAGCCTAAATAGGAGATTTGATTGATTCTTACCTGAAGGGAGTACCAGAGTATTTATCTTGAGGCAACAAAGCTAACCCTAACCCACGGACAGCCACGTAACTAGCATTTACCTATGGCATTTACTCAACTGGGCAGCTCGTCAGCCGCAGCAGAATTAACTATTCCTGTGACGAGCAGGGGACTGCTGACGATGGTTAGTCATACATTCAGCGTGCTTACCAAGAAAAGGATCATTGGATAGACTGAATTCAGGCTGGGAAACACTACTGCAGTTGGCTTTCTAATCTCAAAATCGTCCATTACTAACGACTGATAGTAAGCTGAGTCAGTAGGGAAATAAAAATAGGTGGTAGTAGTATTCCATGTTCCAATCAACCCTAATACAGCTGTCTCCCTAGACCATGCATAGCACTAAAAAGACGGGGTTAATAATAGTAACAGTAATACCAACTCTAAATCCCCATTCGTCTTTTATATTCATTGTCTTGGGTGCAGCAAAGCATACACACTTGCAGACAGAGAGTCCCAAAAAAGATTACAGCATCTCCATTCGTTAACTTGGTATGATATTGTACTGGGGAGTCCTCCATACAATAATCATGTCAGTGCATGCCTGTATATACATATGCTGCCAGGGGAATCATCCATCTTTACACACAACTCAGTCGTCTTCTTACAGTCAGTTATTCAGTATTCATCCTGAATTCAGTAAAGATGTCACGAGCTAAGTAACTAAACAGCCTAATCCAGGGAATCAGCATCTTTACAACATCAGCTCTCTACAGGCTGGATATGGTCCGTCAAGGTACAAAATTATACTATAATAATATCCTTTTTATAATATATTTAGAGAATCTATAAAATAACAATCTGGGGAGTATTCCCCTGGTATATTATTTATTTATTTCCTACAGCACTATAATTATATCTGTATCTATATGCTAATAGCATACACCGGAATAGGTACTTAGTGAAGTTGAACCCACTGATCAGAGCCAGGTAACTGGGAAGATCAATTAAAATGATTCAAACGTCGGTCGCACCATAGGTGTTAGGTATGCTGACAACACATTGCCACAGCTCTTCTCACCTCTCACTACTACTCTTGTGGGCTATCCGATATACCTCGCATACTTGGCAAACTCCTCATCCGCCCTCAACCTCTCCATGTCTTCATCCCTCAAACAAATCGCAACCGCAATCTCGCCGTCCAGCGTCCTCGGAATCAAATAGATCAAACTCTCGACCGGGTCAAACTGCGGTCTCCGCACAGCCTCCGGTTTGCCCAGTCCAAGGTTGAAATCAAGCTCATAAAAGTTTAACTTGGCCCACGAACTGAGCATGAGGTCCGCTGAGAGGTCAAGCGTCGCTGTGAAGGAGATGATGTTTTTGTCTGGCGTGCGGTCGAGGAAGGTTGCGAGGGCACGCGTGTGGTAAGCTAGATTCGATGTTTTGGGGTCTAGAGCCGAACGAAGCTGGGATGCGACAGCGCCCAACGGCTCCTCCACCAGCTTCTGAAGCGTGTACGTATGATACGTCATATTCTGCACAAGTCCCGGGTACGTCTGTGGAATACCCAGATAACGCCGTACATCGACAGCGCGGGCGAATGTTGACTCCGCTGTGGGATCTAAGCGGGGGAGGCGGGCGCGGATGACGGATTGCCAGATAAAGGCGCTGAGGGCGTCGTCGGTGGAGATGTAGCCTCCTGAGGGCAGGGTGATGGTTTCTGTGGCGAGTGATTTTAGAGCGGCGAGCGAGGTGGGGGGGAAGGTGAAGTAGGCCCAGGTGCATTTGGGAGGGGGAGCTGGTGCTGGATGAGATGGAGATGGTTTCACCATCTGACGAGCGAGCTCGGAGCCTGGTTTGTACGAGTCGTCGAGCAAGGGGATGAGGTTATGGCGGGCAAGGTTGCCGGATGACAGTTCGTCGCTGGTGAATGGTTCATTGCGGCACGCTTTGGAGAAGAGATGGATGATCTGGCCTTGGCCAGTCATGTCCATGGCGTTGTGCTGGCCGACGAAGGTGAGCAGGAGGCCACCGGTGATGAAACTGGCTTGGAGGAGGAAGACCGGCGCTGCGTCTGCTGCGGATTCGTTTCCTGGGAGGGTTTTGCGAGGGGCAAGGATGATCTCGTCTAGCATGCTGAAGGGGAAGTTGGCTCGTCTGAGGGCGTCCATTGTTGGTATGGAGGGATCATGTCGGAGATCTTTCACGACCAGACGAGGAATTTTCTCCAACGGTTTGATCTTGAAGACGCCTGAATTGCCTTCGCCTGCACCTTCGTTGACGACCTGGCCTGCCAGCCATGGAAAGCTCGCGGACAGTCGCTCGAGACCATTCGTCAACGTGTTGATGATTGCTGAGTTTGAGGAAGCATCGGCCACGGGAAAGCAAAAGCATATCTGAGTGTATATGTTGAGTAATGGCTGTTGTCCGAGAACATCCAGATAGTCGTCCAGGTCCTCTACAATAGCTGGTCCATGCATGTTGGGCAGTTGATAGTGTCTAAACCATACTTACGGCGGTTAGCGCCCTTTTAAAATGGACTTAACTGCGAGTCAAGTCCAAATTAACCAACCCACTTTTACTGGAGCTAAGTTTTAGTAATTTTTAGTCATTCTTTGTCATAAACCGAGACGGCTCCTCTCAGATAGAGAAATCAAGCATCTTCATGCCACCTCACTCTCCTAGCCGCTGAGATATTATCTGTAAAGACATGCTCTTCGCCTCTTTGGTGTATGTATTCCTTTGCAGTGCGTGGTCTTAATGCATAAGTCAAGTATCATTTGTAAAACTTCTTCTCTTCCTCAATCCATGCTGGGAATCCATACACTTTAATGTATGCACGCCATATCTCTTCAAAAATGCCTTCAATCTTGGAATGTTGGTTCTGCCTAACATTCATGAAAGGATGAAAATTGTTCAGGCCTTTCTCACTCTGCACAGTTGATGCCACTTCAGAATCAAAAAAAACTGCTTTGGGTAATTATTCTGTTGCTGTTCCATCGGAAGAATCTCTTCTTGTGCTGAAAGTCCCACTTCAATTGCCCATTGAAGGTCAATTTGAAGGCCAATTGGCCCGCTTCATTTATATGCCTTTCTTTTGTTATTATGGTATATAATGGTTGAGATTATAACGAGCTAAACAACCCTGTACAGGCAAAGACATGCCGGGTATTTTGGGCGCAATAATTGCAAGAGGCAATTTTGAATTGCCTCTTTCCACCCTGCGAGCTTTTTAAATTCAGCGGGGCCATGGTGGGCATTCTCCTATATTTGGTATGAGTTTCTGTCCATCCAGATGAACAATTGTGATCTTACGGAGAATAGGCTCACTTCAGGAGCCCCGATGTAGTTCATCCACCAGGTGGTTCCCTCGGGCTGCCGGCGCTTGAGATGGTTGGTATTGAGAGTGGCGGAAGTGAGGGTGCTTCCATGGTTGCAGAGGTTCGAGGAGTCGTTGAGTCTGGGATAACCTCGTAGAGAGAGATTCAGACAGCAAAGAAATCTGCCTCCATGACGTTGTTGGGGCTTACGATCGTACCTGCCGAAAGAAAGACTCACGCAAACTGGGCAATCACTGCTGTTACCTATTCCTTTCGAAACTACCCATCAAACCAGTTCGTTGCGACCATAATCAAATTCAATCTATTGATATGTTGCTGTAGTCAGCACTCCGGCATTCCGCGGGTCTTTTCAAGCAAGCTTTCGCCGGCGTCATCGCGTCTTGCGCAAGACAGCACGTTCGCACACGGCGTCATCTACAAGTACTTTGTTAATTTTCACCATTTATACAGGACCAGAAATAAGGATGAATTGACTTTATGCGCTACTTCTAATCGCTGGGGAGAGAACAAAGTGGTATGATATCTGGTATGATATCGTCTACATGCCTACTTCGTTCGTACAGTCATCAGATATAACTGTATAGACATCTATCTCAATATTCTATCTATATTCTATCGACGACAGCACACTGGTAAGCCTCTCGCTTTCTTATTTTTATTTTCTCTTCCTCTCAATTCTCGCGCACGAGAAGCTACCTACACCGCTGAACACTACTCCCCCCCAAGATGCCCCCAAGCAGCTTCTGAGGAATGCCTCTTCTCCCCAAAGCCTCGCACCACCTCACAGCCCACGTCGACACGCGCTGGGCCGACCTCATCCTGCTGGCCTGCTACACCATCACGGGCCTGCTCGACAGCGCCGCCATCACCATCTGGGGCTCGTTCGTGAGCGTCGTGCTGACGAGCATCTACTGCGATCTGTTCTCGGACCAGCAGTTACTGAAACTGCACAACGCCGAGCGCAATCGGCGGGCAGCGGCGCCGGTCAGTCTGCTGGCGGGGGCGCTCTGCGGCGGGGGCTGGACGCACAGTTCGGTGGGGTTGGCGGGGGCATTGTGGACGGCGGCGCTGCTGAAGGCGCTGATAGTGCTGGCATGGCTGGGGTGGAGGGAAGAAAGCAGGCAGAATAACAGTAGTTGTGCAGATACAGCATGTGGGAGCGATGGAATACGTCAGTAGAATAGCTTCCAAATCGGGAGGGTTCCGGTCCAGCCCTAACCCTAGATTACATAAGCCGTAAGCTGACTAATCAATTAGTTACCTGACACGTATATTAGTATAATCCAGCCCACCGGAAGATAATTATCCCGGCGAGTTATCTCTCTACATTCGTTAACAATTAACGATCAATGATATCTATCATGGTCTTGCGACCTCTCGAGACAGACATTTTGATTGCAATGCAAGAAACAAATATCCCTCCATCCATGGACGAAGGAAGTTTTGCGCTCACCGCTGATGATGACCGTTCAACTTGTGGCTATCGTCAGCTAGAAGAAAACATTAAGCATGTGCTGCCTTAGGAAGGACCATGGCTAGGAATGATCTTTCGTCTTGCGTCTTACATACAGTACGGAGTACAGTATTTGTTCTTTGCTGTATTCCCTCATGCAGTCCTGCGAAGCATTAATGCTCTGTTCTTGCCCAGCCATGGCATATTGTATGGTTATGTTATCCACGGTTATATTTCCACCTACCAAGGTACATACAGTACATGCAACAAATCTATACAACATCCAATCTATACATGTATATCTACTTCCTCCCCCTCCACAACGACCCCGGCACATCCATCGGATCAATATCAAAAATATGAGGCAAAACAAGCGGCAAATTCTCCGTCCTCAACTCCGGAAACTCCTCACGGATCGTCTTTCGCAGCAAGTCAAACCACACGCGGTATGCCTTTCCCGAGAAATGGATCCCGTCTGTGAGCAGGTCGCGTAGGTTTTTCCCACTGCTGGGCGGGTTTTCGCCGCGCTTGCCGATGATCGGCTCGCCGTCTGTCCAGCCCTGAGCGCGCAGCAGCGCTGTCCACAGGTCGATAAAAGGCACGGCTGTCTCGGCGGCGACGCCACGGGCAGCTTCTGAATATTCCCTGTTGCGCAGCGTCGTGCACTCGTCCGGTCCGTCGGGGGAATCCAGCACGACGGGCGCATACTCATCGACAGGACCGGGGCCGACGAGGATGACGGGGATGTTCCTGCTCCGCGCAAGACGCACCATCTCCCTCAGATTCTCCTTGTACCGCTCGAGGGACACAAACTGGTAGTCGTTCTTCGACGCATCGTTCGTCCCGAAAAAGATCACCAGTAGCCGGATCCTGACCTTCACCCCCGGCGGCCCCGCCGTTTCAAAGTCCAGGATCGGCTCTAGGATGTGTCGCGCGTGCTCGCTGTTGTACCCCCCGTACCCGCGCGTCACGACATGCAGTTTGCGGAAGTATTCATGTTGCAGGGCCGGGGCGAGGGCGAACCCGAGGGATTGGTCGGAGCTCAGCTCGGTGATGGAGTCGCCGAAGAGGATGATTTTGTCGGTTGCGACGAGGGAGAGGGGGGTGGACATGACGAAAATTGTACAGTACCTAATCGGGAGGGTTTTATTTTAATAGGTTGACAGAAAAATGAAAGAATGACCGTAGCAGAAGTAAGCAAGAGCAGTGGTAATCGATGCAGATATAGATAGAACCTAGCCACAATAGATTATATACAGACGAAGGAACTAACAGACCCCACCATCTTTCTACCAGGCAGCAAATACACCTCGAGGTAAATATAATTATCTCTGCTTAGCTGCATGGCTAGACCAGCTGCAAGCCACGCGGGGTAAGTCAAAGTTGAGGCAATTGGCTAGACTGGCTGGCGTCTTCTGTCGGGCGGATTCTCGGGCTGATTTGCATACATACGGACAGCCTACTAACTACTAATAGTACGAGAGATAGATATGCCTACAGAGTTGGGTAGAATAAAATGATATTTTTAGAACTAATTAACAGAGTGATCGATCTGTATATATAATGTCAAATTGTCCTATTCTGGTCTGTCACCTCTATACCTACATCTACACTGTCCTCTATCAACAGAGTACGATGTATACACTGTCTAACTACAATCTCACTTAAATCCATTCATTTAAGTACACGCAACCTCCACCCTCCAGCTGCTTCCCGTCCCTGCTGCCTGGGTCAGATCCACCTGCACCAGCATCAATCCCTCCTGCAGCCGTTCCGTCAAAACATCCACTGCCTTCCCGTCAACAGTCGCGCTGATGTCAACTGCGTCCGCAATGACAAATCCAACAACGCCGTCGTACTTGATCTCCGTCACCAGCCGGCTGCCTTGTTGCACGACAGAAGAACTCTTGATGCCCGCAAGACTGGCGTATTTGTCGACCAGCCCCAGATTCGCAATCCGACCTTTGCCCACTGCCTGGTATGGCGCAATCGTCAGCGTCTCCGCGCTCTGCGGTGCCAGCGACACCGTCACCACCGGCTCCGAGGCGGTTATTGTCTCCCAGTCGGAAGTCCCTGCGCGGGCTCGATCCAGGCTCACGGACTTTGCCTTGCGGGAGTTCGCCGCCCAGATCACGCCCTCCCACGGCCCAGAAGGCGTGTCGAGCGCGTCGAGGAGATCGCCCTCGAAAAGGACGTCGACGCTGTGATCGACTGCGTCCTCACGCGTGTTCCACAGCACGATCGCCGCAGAATGGCTGTCTGGGAAGTAGGACGTCCCCTTGAGAGACGCCCCCCGACCTCCATCCAAGAACCGCTCCCACACATTCCGTTGCAGCGGTCGGACGACATTCGACGCCCGGATCACCTGGTACGAATCTTCCCCAGGCGTCCGCCCGATCAGCTTCGACCGCACGCGCGCATCGCCCTGGCCCGGCTTGTCGGCCAGGAAGATCGGCCCGGGGAAGAAGGCCCGCAGCACGGCATGGTACTCGGGCCACTGCGCGCTGGTCATGAACATGTCCGCGTCCGGCGTCAAACACTGATGCCCCAGCAGCATGCCGTTGTAGATGTTGTACCGGATGTGGTCGCGGTGCACGTTGCGCCGCGGCAGGCCAAAGTCGTCCGAGTTGCGGATGACCATTCGCTTCCCCTGCGTCGCCATTCCCATGCCAATGTCGCCGTTGAACATGCGCTCGTAGTGTGCCATGCAGTGGATAACCCGGTTCTCGCCAAACGTCTCGTTGGCCGCCCGCGTCATCCCATTCCACAGCGCTACAAACTCCTCACCCCCCTCGACGCCCTCCAGGAAAGACCCATACGCCTGGTTGTCGACCTTGACGAAGGTGATGCCCGCGTCGGTGCAGGCACGGAAGTAGTCTCGCCAAAACGCATACGCCTGATGCGGAGGAGGCAGACACCAGACCCGATTCTCCGGCTTCGAGATGGAGCCCGACTGCTGGCCGTCGAAATCCTTCGGAGGCCACTTGATCCCGCGCACATTGTCCCGGTCGAGGTGGTACACGCGCATCTCGTACTTCTGCGCCAGCGGTGAATCCGGAACGATCGAGTTCCAATAGCCGGCCAACGTCATCCACACGCCAATGTCCTTCACCGTCGGCAGGGTCCGCTTGATCAGCGCGACCGTATCGGCCAGACTGCTCTTCATCCCGTCCCAGGTCCCAAAGCTCCACAGACCCCGCGTTTTCGCCGCCCCGTTCTGTCCATGTCGGATATCCTGCCAGCCGTCGTCGATCAGGAACGTGCCGACGGGGACGTTGTCGCGGCGCAGCAGCTGCACGAGGTTGTCCACCAGGTCGATCGTGAGGGGCACGTTTTCGCCAATGCTGGTCCAGGTGCAGAAGCCGAGGCGATCGAACGGGTTCAGACCGGACTCGTCGGTAAACGGAGTCGTAGAGAGGCCGTATTTGGCACGGGCGATCTCGACCGCGCTGCGGATCGCTGTCGTCGTGCCCTTCTGCACGGTGAGCTTGCCCGTCACGTAGACCTTGGGCCGGCCGCCCTTCTTGATCCGTCTCGCGCGAGCGTAGACGCCTGGCGGCTCACCGTCGCGTGCGGCGCTGAGCGTGACGAAGGCCTCCTGGGAGGACGCAGGAAAGACCGCAAGAACCGATCCGGGATCAATCTCCGCGCTCGTAGGCCGTAGCAAGAGGTTATGCGTAGGCGTCTGAGAGGACAGCTGGCTCAGATGCGTAAACGAAGCTTCAATCCACGTCTCTCGGGGCCGGTACCAGGCCCAGCCCTCCCAGTCATGGACGTTGAGCCAGTCGATCTTCTGACTCTTCCATTCCTCATCTTCTTCCAGGACAATTTCGGTCACAAACTCCTGGTCGACGCCCTTGGCTTCCGTCTGCACAAAGGCAATCTTGCCCAGTCCGCTGCCGCTGCCGAAGACGGCGATCTCCCCGCCGCTGTTGAGAGGGAGAGTCACCTTGTAGGTCAGCAGCGGTTCCTGGCCGAATGAGTCGAGCTGGACCTGCGTGAACGGGGTCTGCTCATCGTGACCGTCAATCCTGGCCGTCAATTCGACGGGCTCCGGGGTTGCAGCGTAGATGACGATCGAGGAAGTGCCAGCAGGCACGAAGACCGTCTGGCCAAGCGCTGGCGTGAAAACAACCGAATTGACCGCCATCTTCAGCACGTTCTTTCAGACGTCCTGCCCAGCAGGACCTGCTCGCCTCTTCGCATCTATATATGTGTACCCGCTGCCCCGCCTGGCAATGAAGCCGAGAATTGCGCCGGCCGGGTCATTCCTCGTCGCATGACTGGATCCTCCGAGAGTCTGGCCGGCAGATCGAATAGGCGGGCAGCCATGATGTGTTTGTCAAGAAATCTCTACGGAGTGCTCTCCGAGATGAGATGCTGGACGGAGTCGTCGATGAGGTTGGGCTGATAGGATCTGCGGGGCAATTCCGAGGCATTGATAAGACTGAATACTAGAACACGAGATGGTAAATGGACTTGGTTGCGATCAGTTCTTGCCATTCTCTCGCAATTCAGCAGAGTCAACGCAATAACAGTGTCACAGAGTACTTGTACTGTACAGTGCTTGTACAGCATATGCGGGGCAGGCTTAGCACAAGCTCGCATCTCCGTCCAGTCACCGCGTAGGGGCCACATCGGGCCAGGAGATGAAACTGGCGTGCATAAGATAAGCACTACTGCAATTCCTCGCCTTCCATTCCTGCCATGAGTTTTTTCGCGAAATAGCCGGCTCCATTGGCCCCGTTTGCTCGTCTGCCTGCGCGTAGCCGCGGGACATTTTGCTTGCCGCCGACGATCGTCCATCCTCGCGGGTGACTGGATTGTCTGCCTCTGCCTGTTGCTCAATGAATGCACGATGCCGCAGAACTCAGAAGGGCTTTCAGCTCTGTGGGTCACGCTGACGAACTGTATCATTACTGCCTGCTCAGCTGGGGCGGCTAGCAACGTAGTCTGCAATAAGCGTGCCTGCGAGGCGCTTCCAGCAGTCGAATGCGCGCGCGGCGTTTCAGCCTCACCTCGCTCGCCTCCTTCAAAAGTCAGCGGCTGCCCTTGCTTCTCTTTCCGTCTTGTTGACCTTCCAGGCTGAATTGTTGCCGGCTCGCTGTATGTACAGCGTTGGTCTCTCTGAGAACTGTTCCATCTACCCCTCAGCGCTCAATCGAGAGTATGTCGACGCTTCAGGTCCCCGACCCTCGCCTGCGCGCTCGTTCCAGGTCTCGCAGCGCTCACAGTAGGGAGCGCTCGCGGTCGCGCGACAGTCGAGCGCCCAGGAAGTACGATGACTCCGACTCGGAGGAGCAGCGGCGGAAAGCTCGCAGTCGCAGCCGCAGCAGCTACCGGGAAAGCTCGAAATACGACCATTCGCAGGAGTATGAGGACGATATATACCGGCCCAGGGAGCGCAGCAGGGACCGTTACCACCATTCGGACACCGACGAAGACGAGAAATACTATCGTGCCGACAGACGTCGCCATTCGTCCCCCTACGCCAGCGACTCCGAACACTCGGACTCGGACTCGGATCTGGATGCGCTGGCGTACGGCGACACTGCTGCTGTGGAGTCGAGCATGCATTATCGGCCCTCTGCGTCGCCAGAGCGTCGTTCACATGCCCGCTCGTCCAGCGCGACATACCATCTCCGCGATGATGACTCGGATCGCGAGCCGCCGGGCAGCCATCCCAGCTATGCGCGCCCAGAGCGATTCTCCTATGCGCAGCCTCCGCAATTCACCCACGCTCAGCCGGCCCAATTCCGTGAAACCAGACATGCAAGCTACAGCGGCGCGCAGCCCCAATTGCCAAAGGATTGGGCGCCCATCCCCGAGTGTGAGATGCCAGGCTACGTGCCGCCCAGCTCTCAGGCGCCGACGACGCAAACGCAGCCTCTCCCAGGCGCCTTTCCAGCGCCCACAACGCAGGCTCCTCCAGGAGGCTATCCAGCCCCTACAACACAGCCTGTCCCCGGGGCGTTTCCTGCCCCCGTCTCAGGCCCGCCAGATGCCTATTCTCACGCCTATCCGGGCGCACAGCCATCGTATGCGAACCTGCCGCAGTGGCAGTATGCCAATCCTGATCCCAACATCACGTATTCGTCCAAGTCGAACAAGCAGCCCTACACGCAGTCCAGCACCAACCAGTTCGTGAAGCCGTACACGCTGAGCAGCGAGCCGCAGTTCGAGATGAACCCGGCGCAGTCCCGGCAGGACGGCGCCCGTCCTCGTCCCCACAGTCTGTCTGTTTCGACGGTCAACAACCTCTCAGTGGGAGGTGGTGATGGCCTGGGGCCAGGCGGTCGACCGCCAGCGAGTCCGCTACTAGAGCCCTATCAAGGCACCTATCAGTCCATCTCCCCGATGCCCTCGCCCATTGCTTCCCCAGCGAGGTTGTCTCCGAGACTGGACGAGGACGTCTCCGATCTGGAGCCCTTGGATGGCGGTGGTTCAGGCTCCGACCGGCGGAGGACACGCCAGAACAAGAGCAAGTCGAGAGACGACAGCAGGGAGCGCAAGGACCGGAAAGAGAAGGAGAGAGAGCGAGAAAGGGAGAAGAGCAAAGAGCGGAAACCGAAGTATTACGACCGACGACGCGACGATGACAAGGGCAGCGGCCCGGACGAGGTGATTCTGATCTCCCCCAGCAGTCGCAAGAAAGTGTCGTTCTACAACCCGACGCCCGATGCGCTCGCCCTGAAAGAAGCGCTCTTGCACCATCGCCTCGACCCGCGGCCGTTCATCACCATCCTGCCGTATCTGACCAGCGATGAGGTCCTGGCCCTGCGGGCCGAGTACAAGAAACATGCCAAGCTGCACGGCAAGGGGATCAACATCGCCAAGCACATCAAGATGAGGCTAGACGGGAACACGCCGTTCGGCAAGGTCTGCTACGCCACGGCCCTGGGCCGCTGGGAGTCGGAGGCGTACTGGGCCAACTACTACTACCAGGCAGGCACGTCACGGCGGGAGCTGCTGATCGAGTCGCTGATGGGGCGCACCAACGCCGAGATCCGCGAGATCAAGGCCTGCTTCCGCGACTCGCGGTACGCCGACAGCCTGGAGAAGTGCATGAAGGCCGAGCTTAAGGCGGACAAGTTCCGCATGGCGATCTTACTGGCGCTGGAGGAGCGGCGCCAGCCGGAGCGCGACACGGTCGATGTGCATCTCGTCCAGCAGGACGTGCACAATCTGCATCGCGCGCTGGTCTCGCGCGAGGGCGGCGAAACAGCCATGATTAAGATTATCGTGGTCCGCAGCGACTCGCATCTGCGCGAGGTCCTGCGCGTGTACGAGAGCATCTACCGGCAGAACTTTGCCCGGGCGATGATTGCCAAGTCGAGGAACCTCGTCGTAAGTAAACCAGAAACCCAACCAGACCAGATCGGACCAGACCAGACCGGACACTAACCAGACCTCAGGGAGAAACCCTCGCACACATCCTCAACGGCGTCATCAACCGACCCATGCGAGACGCGCTGCTTCTACACCAGGCGATCCGCGAGTCCCGATCAGGGCGCGAGCGGTCCGAGCTGCTCATCTCGCGTCTGGTCCGACTGCACTGGGAGCCGCGGCACCTGGAGCAGGTGAAACACGAGTACCGCAAGCGGTACAACGAGCGGGTCGAGGAAGCCATTGCGCAGGAAGTGATGTCAAGCAGTGGCGGGAGAGACTGGGGCGAGTTCTGTATCGAGCTTGTTCGAAGTTCGTCGTTTCTTACCTCTGAGAGGTCGGGGCGGTAGGAGAAAAAAGGACTGATGACGAGTATGGCCAGGGGTGTAATTGTCTCCACATGTACTATAATAATGTGAATGCAAATATGCAAATATAGCCAAGTAGGTATGTAGTTTTGTTGATTGATTGTCGATCTGGATTTGGATCTGGAGGCCTGCCATGGACTGATTGCAAAAGAATCTCATGATTAACCAATAATTAAGTACCTGCATGTATGTACATACATGCATCCATTCCCTTCGTTCATTTCTTTCTATGGGACGTCAAGTTATCAAATGCTCCCAACCTAGACTGATTGTTTCTAACCACCTACCTCGCCAGCAGCTTTCATTATCTGGCTCAATTTGACTCGAGTTTCGTTTTGGCGAGTGTAGATGACGGCTGATTGAGTCGTGAACTCCAAGTTGCAGGCTGCAAGCAAGTACCGTGCATAATATAGGCATGTCGGAACCTTGGTGGCACGCATCATGTTTGCCAGATATTGGCCAAACCTCCCAACATGCTATAAAGAAAGTAATTGTAATTCCGAGGCAGCATGACTGACTGGCTGGCTGGCTGCTGAATCATCACCCCCCGCTGCCCTTGTCTCAGCTCTCGCCTGCACTTGGCACACAATCCCAATCTACAATCCCGACATTCGAAGAGGAACCGTCGATAATACTTACCGCATCCCTCACAGACATTTCTGCCTTGGATATATCTCCAGTGCTCGTGTTGGCAGTCGTCTTCTGAGTCAGAAGATTCGTCATCATTATCGGATTCTTCGTCCGATTCTTCTTCTGGATCTTCATCGTCAGGTTCGTCGTTGACTCCATCATTGTTGTTTGCCCGTCCAGCCACTACTGGAAGTTGGCACAGCAGCCGGTTCTCATTCCATCGAGGACACAGACACGTCTTCCACCGCTGCCCGCAAGCGTAGCAGAATTGGGCACCGCAGATGCACCTGTGAACATCAATTGATACAAAGTCAGCAGCTGTGCGAATGGGAGTGTTCATTTCTAGAACTTGGTATGTCTGGAGAAAGGCACTTCGTACGTGATATGGTTGCAGCCAATGGTGAGCTCCACGACTCTCTTGCACGACATGCATCGCTGCCATCCACTTTCCCTGGCAAGCTGCAACACCTCCTGCAAGACTGGATCCTCGGGACAGTTCTCTCCCGTGTGGGCTGCCCTCTTGCAGATGCTACAGGTGACCGTGTGGCATCGAGGACAAGACGCACGGTCATCTGTGATGTTTGCCGAGGGTATGAAATTCAAACAGTCCGGCGACGAGCAATATGTCCGGTCAGCCGTCTGGAACTCTTCCCTTCGATCCTCGAATGCAGCAATTATCTCCCCGCTCAGTAATGACCGCACCCCTTCCACATCGATCGGTTGTTGGCAGCAACGAGGCGGAAACAATGCCTCGTCATTTAATGTGCTTTCAAAGAACTGCCGAAGGCAGTCCCTGCAATAGGTATGAGCGCAAGTTAGGTGGATACAGTCTGGAAACACTGTCGTTTCCCGGCAAATATCACACATGGCAACCTGTGATGACACGGTGGTAAGCGTTCTTTTGAGCTATTTCCTCGATATTTCATCAAACACACCTCGTTTCCATCAGTCCCCTCTCGATCGCTACTCGCGTTCAACGCACGGCCATCACCGTCATCATCAATACGTCTCGCCACTCGCCGTCGTCGCTCATCGGCATCTTCCGAGTGTTGTCGTTTCCTGCCACGGCTGTCCGGGTCAATAGCCGAGGAAAGCTCCAAGGCTATTTGTGATCTTTAAGGTATTTGTTCCTGATGGAGCAGCTCTTCTTCAAAAGCCGACGCGCGAGCTCGATGTCTGACGCGTCTCCATCCTGGTCAGATCTGCTGAACCGATTCAGGTCCTCCAGTCGTACTTGCAAGATCACCTGCTCAGAGGAGCTGATCACATCATCCTGTGGTGTGTCTGCCATCTCTGCAGCATGGCAAGGACTGGGATGGAGGAGAGCAAACTATGCAAAAGAACTGATGACCTGAGACAAGCAGTGATGTGCTCAATCTCGAAGGCAACAACAAGACAACGGATGTGGCCATGCAAATGAGCAGCTTTTCTGATTTCAACTACTGACGAGGATGGCCCCAGATGTGATCTCACATCACTGACAGGGTTGAAACCATGGGAAAAGTGCGAGTGAAAGGTCGAGAGTTTCCTTACGTTGCTCAGACTACAGCCTGGCTACTTCCCTCACTGCTTGAGATACGTAAAGGGAAGGAAGGTCAGGTGACATCACCCTCTACCACAAAGGCGGATCCATCCAGTCCCAAAGGAAATTCAAAAGATAATGGGTTAGGAATGGGGACGGAAGGTAGAATACGTTAGCATCAGCCGATATGTAGCATCTACTTGCGCACAGCCACGTGGAGGTGATCGCGTGCGGAGGACATAGAATCGAGTCTAGCTGGAGGAAAAGCTACGGGCAATAGACAACAAATTTACTGGTCAAAGAGAAAAAAAAAAGATGCTTGCATGCTTGCCTGACGCAATTTGCTATGACACGTTCTGAGAGCGCCAGGACGCTTGGTGAAATACAAACAAGCTTCGGGCTGCCAAGAAGAGAACTGTATTGGGAATAAGGGTATGAAGAGGAGGGAAGAAACGGGACAGGGTGACTTGCAAGATCGCAGCTTTTCTTTTTGCAGAAGTCGACAAAGAGGTAATAGCCAACACAATAAGAGACAAACCGCACAATGAGCTGTACATGCTCTCCTCCGGAGGACATTCGACATGATGGATATCTCTGGGAATATTCCCGGATCAACGGTAGCACGTGGTAGATGGACAGGCTTCCTCGTGAACTGAATTAACAGGGTGAAAAACGAAGAGAACACGAAGAAATAGGGGAGCTGAAAATCACGATCGATCCTGCCGTGACAGTCCTGCTCGCCGGTTAGGAATAAAAGAGAAAAGGAAAAAAAAATCCCGAGATAAAACAAAAGGAGAAGTGAAGGAATGACATGAAGGCAAGAAACCCGCTGCGCAGAAAAAAAAAAGTTTCGGAACGAGAACATAGAATAAATAAAATATCCCTTTCTCGCTCTCACAGAGGCTTTGGTACTCAACCTTAAGGCAATGGCCGGACGGAATCGAAGCAGAATACTTATCCATCCCTTGCAACATCCATGACCGGGAAAAAGGGTTCAGGATGTGACCTCCAAGGCCGACAAAACCTCACACGCAACGGCCCCACTACAAGAATCGCAGACAAAAAGATCGAATATAGTTGGCAGCCTCGATTCAGTATACAATGGAATCCTCCGCTCAACGCTTGGTCCTCAAACCATCACCTTGTTGCACGGCCGCCCTTGGCTGGAGGTCCATATCGTCCCTGGTAGGATTGCTTGGGCGCGCCGCCCCCCGTACGGCGGTTAAGGCGGCTGGTCCGCCAGCGTTCATACCAGATCTCACGGCTCGCCTCGCGCAGGTCAGATCTCCACTCCCTAAAGACGGCATCTTTGAGCTTCACGAAGTCACAGTGCTCGGGGTTGTAAGGATCGGCAAACCCCCAAGGGAACTGACGGCCAACCGGTCCATCTGGGGATTCCAATGAGTGAGGATCCGGAGACAGGATCGAGAGAGGAATCGGAGGAGTATCAGGCGTGGAACCGGAGTTCGACGACTTGCGAGTTGCCTGACTCCGGCTGGACGGTGAACCCGGAGCAGGACGCTCGTCGCCTGCAGGCTGGGCATCCGCTTCACGGGTCTGATCATCGGTCTCAGCCTTCTCGGCAGTCGACTTCCCTTCGGCCTCATCCTCTTCATTTTCATCGAACCTATCACCATTTTCAGAAGACGAATACTCTTCCTGCTCTTCGAGCGTCAGGATCTCGAGAGGGTCAATGTTGGCCTGTTTCAGACTCTCCCAGACGGCCTTCTTCAAATACGCCATGTGGGCGGTCGTAACAGTATCGGCCTTACTAATGACCGGCACCACCGTCGTCTTTCCCTGCATGATGCGAAGAACCTGCAGATCCAGGTCTTCGTCCAGAATACCAACGATACGTGGAGAGCCCGGAATGTTGCCATTGGCTTTCTCAGCAGCCTTCCGGGCAGCGGAGATGTTCGAGTCCAGACGGACCGGATCGAGAATCAGGAAGACGCAGTGGATGTGGGTATCGCGAACGCCGGGAGAGCGGACGACCTTCATCTCTTCGGTGAAGGTCTCTTCGAATTTACTTTCCAGGAACGCGGTGATCTCTCGCAGTTGCAGGTCGACGAGATTTCTCTCCAGTCCTTCAGAATCCCAGAGCGTGAGACCCACGCGCTCGCCATCAATTTCCGTCTCGAGATAATGAGAAGTGAAGTTGGAATTCGGCGAGGAGTTGACTTCTTCTTCAATCTCGTCGGGCGAGCGGATGGGATGTTTGTTGGGAGGCAGAGCGAGAGACTTGCGCAAGAAGTCCAGGAAGGAGGTTTTGCCGCAGTTACGGGTTCCCACGACCAGAAGACTTACAATTCTTTGTCAGAAGCCAAGACAAATTGATTCGAAATACAGAAAACACTCACTTATACGGGGTTGGGTCCTTGCGTCTGCGCAGTCTGCGCGGGCTGTTGACACTGCTCACCGCACTACTGGCGTAGCTGTAACGACCACGGTGGGTCATGCTTTCAGTCCTCGCATATGGATCAATGGCGGGCACGGGAGGAACTGGCACAGTACGAGAAGGCTTGTCATCGTCATGCTTGTCGTCGCCTCCGAATGTTTTGAGCTGCGGCGTCGGGGCGAGGTCCGGCAGACGGGGCGCGTGTTGAGGGATGGCCTCGCGCTGACGGCGGAGCTCCTCCTCTCTGGCCTGTTCCTTCAGCATCTTCTTGCTGATCCTCCCGGAGGACTTGCGGTCTCCCAGGGGTTCAGTCGATTTCGAGCGGCGGAGGAAGCCCAGAGACGATCGCTTCGAATCGACGTGCAGGTGCGAGCTGGTGCCGTTTTCCGTGATGGCCGGAAGGGCCTCTGGGGGAGGCGATTTGCCCGGAGTGCGAGGCCTGGAAGTTGCCGACGCCATGGCGAGTGACAGCTGAGTCGCGCTTTCCTATCTGGGAGGGGGGTGGGAGCTGACAAAGGAGGGGCTCTGGACCGCAGACAATTCACCTGTCAGCACACTCTCTCATTCCTGCTACTGCTGAGACGTCTTTTGACGCCGTGAATGCTGGACGGTCCATCATTTTTGCCTCATCAAATACAAACGCTTCAGGAAATAATGGTGCTATCAAAAGCTGAAGTACTCACTGATTTGTGTACACGCACAGTGCTGATTGCAAATGCAGGATGGCAGAGCGAATTCACAGCCACTTGCGCAAGCGCTGCTAGATGCGGGGAACGGAGTGCCAGTGACGTATGGATTAGGTCCAGTACCCCCGAAATCGATGAAATCTCCAGACGCAACAGTCGCTTCCAAACAATCTGCAGTTGTCGAGAAGGAACCCCGCGTCACTGATGCCGAGCTGGAATCCACTGGGTCGAGGCTGCGAGCTGAGAATCAATTCGTCCGTCGAGCAGATGGACGCGGTTTCTAGCGAGCGACAAAGGGGCCACCCAAGGCAGTGCGAACGACCCGCGAACGAACCACTTCGACCGCAAAAGAGAGACAAGGCGACGAGACGGGTGGGAAGACGTCTCGAGGGAGAGGGATCCGATCAGCAAGACGACAATTCACAAGGCCAGCAAGCGACTGTCAGTCGGTCTGAATGTTGACAAGTTCTGGGTCCCTCCCGACCCCTGCTCCAGGGGCTAATGCCGCCAACGGTGGGTGATGAAAAACGAGCGGAAAAAAGGTGACGGTCCTGCTCTCACAGAGTCCAGTCGCAACGCCTCGGACGAGAGAGACGAGGACACCGCAGAGAAACGAAACGAAGGACAGCGGGTAGAGGACGAGAGGAAAGAGAATCTACACGGGCCTGCGCATGTCTGTCTCATCTATCTACTCGTTCGGCCCTTTTTTTTTAGCCCGACACCGAGAGCAGTCTGGGACGATTACGGCAGTTCATCGCGTCCGTTAGCTGTTAACTTAATCCGCGTGCGCGATTAGTTACTGCTGCGCTGGGAATTATTATGATCGTTCGAAAAGAAGCCCAGATTCAGGGGCTCGTCTCAACCCACTAGGCGTCCCCCACTTGGGGGATCACACGCAGCTGTTGGCCGAGCTGGAGGCGCCAGCACGCCACTAATCATCCTCGGGCGGCGCTAGCTCTTGCAGGTGACCTAGTGAGCCGAGTCCTGCGAACGTGTATCGACTCAGCGGTGATTTCACACGAGCTGTTGCAGGCAAGTCCAGCTGTCTGTGGACCGGGCAGACGACAACGCATTCGCAATGGATCCAGCGTGCTCCGCGTCGTTGATACGGCGGATGGAGACTGGGCATCGACAGGGCTTGAGATTGAACAGTGGAGAGCTTTGCGCGGGTCGAAGCTTCGCAGCTCCAGCGTTACTGACAAAGCTCATTGGGCTGCGCTGCGGTGGGTATCCCCGGGTACCTGGTCGGCGATGATTGGCTGCGCGGGTGCCTGCCAGGAACATGGCGACCTGCGCAGGGCACGTGCACTGGCCACCTCGCCTCGCTGCGAGACGCGCCCAGACCGCGTCGGTTAAAGAAAACCCCTGAGGCCGTTGCAGTCTCGAGTTATTTATATTCGCAGCAAGGCTATGACCAACTAGGAAATCGCTCGTCCTACTCTCCGTACGGCAACGGCAGAGTACTCTATACGGAGTATATATTACCGAGTAGTCATAATGGGCATCAGGTATAGAATAGTTGACATTACTGCCTGCAATTAATCGTTATCATCAACACCGTCAAACATGCACTCTACTCCTATTCTGCCGCAATATCCGATTGGTCAGTAATCAAGACTCAGTCCAGGCACTTATCGCATTCTACTGGTGGAGATACAAAATGGAAGGACTACGCAAGGATCCAAGGGACACTTTGGTCCGGACCAGATTCTTGAACTTCGGACCGTTCGGCCCATCCATGCACGAAGTATTTGGCCTCTCCCAAGATCTCTGGGCGCCCGCCAGCGTGGGGTTCTCCACTGGCCGTTGAAGTGCAGCCAGTTGACGGCGTGTCGCGTCGTAGGGCGTAACGTCTGGAGAAACGAACGACGTTGTGTTTCCTTGATGCGTCAGAGTCTAGTATGGGGCAGATATTATTTATTTTACTTATTTCCTTACCAGTCGCTAACATGGTTTCCAAACTCCATGCCCAAGACAATATCACCATGGTTATATCTTCGGTCGTCTCGTCTGTAAGCTAACCTCGATCTCTAATCCAAGACAAAAGTCTATGCAGCTATGCTGTGCAGTACTCTTAGGTGTCGGTGCTGGAGCCGGAGGAGGGACGTTAGGTGGAAGTGGTGGTTATCAGGTTGTTAAAAGGATAATAGTTAGTTATATATATGGATATTGCTTAGATACAGTAGGTACCATATTCAAGCACATAGTCTGGAATAGTGCTGCTTGCCTTTGCACCCTGGAGCAGCAGCAGCAGCAATAATAGCAATAATAACGATAATTATAGAAGAGGCGCTGATAATGATATTACCACTGTTTTCATTTCCATAATTATGCTCAATCGCTGTTGTTTAGTTTGTTTATTAACAGACAGGGGGGATCAATCAATCCTTCGATAGGAATTCCAAGCCCCTAATAATACGCAGTATTAAATAACGTCTCGGCCAAATCGAGACACGCGGACAGCAGAACCAGCTGTACAGTAGGTACCAAGGGTAGAAGTTAGGTGTCAGTGAGTTACTAATATTAATATTGTTTGAGATAGCCATGAAATAAAGAAGGCAACTTTTTTTTTTCGTCACAGGATTTTTTTTTCGGCGATTTCTGCAGGCATGGCTTTCGGGTAATACAAGAGGCTGGTACAGACTACCTAAAGTCCCATGAGTAGACATGTGAGACATGTGATAGACATGTGATGGTTGATGCGCATGACACAATCACAAGCGAAATCTATTTATCATTGCGACTACAAATTGAGTACTGACAGCACGTGCTCGACTTAATAGTAAGGAAAAGCAGATAAAGGGAATAATAGTCATTTTATTTTCTCTACAATCGCTGCTTTGGGTGGTGCCATGGCCAGGAGGGAGATCGACCGTAGATGTTATCCATCTACAGGGAAGTAAAAGTTAAGGATAACCTTTCTTCTGGAGCTGTCTACTTTCTATTTTGACGATGCTATTTATTGTATTACATTTCTAGCATTGTATCGAGAAAGAAAGAATAGTATGCTCAATCTTAGAAACAGTAATTTTCAGCATATTTACTCCGTACTGGACAGTTTTGACTAACCCGATCAGGCAGCTGCAGGGACGCTTGACAACGTGACATCGGTTATCCTTATCTTAGACAAAAACAATTCCAAGGAAACATAAATAATGCATCCGAATTATCTCCTGAAAGCATCATGTCCATCCCTTATATCCAAAGATCGGAGGTATGCTTGCACATGATTATTTCGTTCTCGATCACGACAAAGAAAGACTCGCTTCTAGGAATGTCTTGTGGGAATTTACCCGCTGATAACCTGATGCTACGCTGCGCGGCGGGGAATCATTTAAGGGACCAGCTTAACCGGTTTTGAGTCGGCTGCTCCGTGCCGACTAACACCTGCTACGACCTAATCTCAGCTTCTAGTCCGATAAGAAGCATGCTGCAGTTGTGTGGAGATCACGCAAGATAAGCCGGGTTTTAACCAAGACTGCTAGCACACTGCAGCCGGACTGTCCGGGGTATAAGATGGAGCCGATTGCCATCATATCTCGCGTCGTCGTACAACCCCAGTGTTCTGCGCGACGACTGCTCCGGCTTGCACGATGCCTTCGCTCTCGTCGCTCGTGGCGCTGACGGCGTCGCTGGTCTCGCTCGCTGCAGCGGCTGCACCGCGTCTTCCACTGCCTCCGCGCCCCCCTTTGCCTCCTCGCGACCCTCTGCACGGGCCGACAAATGCGAGCGCGACCTTCCAGCAGCTCATCGACCATAACCATCCCGAATTGGGCACCTTTTCCCAGCGGTACTGGTGGAATGACGAGTTTTGGAAGGGTCCGGGGTCTCCGGTAAGCAAGCCCCGTAATAGCTATGTCGCACCGTTGTTAACGACAGCAGGTCGTCCTGTTCACCCCCGGAGAGGAGGACGCTTCGGGATACGTGGGTTACTTGAAGAATACGACGATAACCGGCCTGATTGCGCAGACGATAGGAGGGGCCGTCATCGTTCTTGAACGTCAGTTCCCTTCCGATGGTGGAATATTTGTGATAGGGTTGCTAAGCTCTGTCTAGACCGGTACTGGGGTCAATCGTCGCCATACGATTCCCTCACAACGAAGAATCTGCAGTACCTCACCCTCAAACAGTCGATTGCGGACCTGACCTACTTTGCAAAGACGGTCAAGCTGCCATTTGACCGGAACGGCAGCAGCAACGCCGACAAAGCGGTGAGTGACTTCCAGCGACGTTGGTATACATATGCGCTAACATCACAGCCCTGGGTTCTGTCTGGTGGATCGTACAGCGGCGCCTTGTCCGCGTGGACGGCGTCGACGTCCCCTGGGACATTCTGGGCCTACCACGCGTCTAGCGCACCGGTAGAGGCGATCTACGATTACGTATTTCCCCCGTCCTGAAATCTGGCTTCCCACGCTCATATTTGCAGTGGCAATACTTTGCTCCGGTGCAGGACGGCCTACCGGCCAACTGCAGCAAGGATCTCTCCCGGGTCGTCGACTACATCGACAGCGTTCTCCAGTCCGGCAATGCGACAGCCAAGCAGCAGCTGAAAGACCTGTTCGGACTGGGGGCACTGGAGCATGACGATGATTTCGCTTCGTGAGAATAATTTGAAGTCATCAAATAGACGTCGCTGATGACATGACAGGGCCCTCGAGAACGGACCGTGGCTGTGGCAATCCAACAGCTTCTACGACCCCTATCCGCCAGTCTACGAATTCTGCGACTATGTCGAGGTAAGCATCCTGTCGACTCCGACAATATCCAGCTGACGAAGCAGAATGCATATGCATCGCCGCCGGTGGCTGCAGGACCGGACGGCGTCGGGCTGGAGAAAGCGCTGAGCGGGTATGCGACGTGGTGGAACAAGGTCTTCTTCCCAGGATGTAAGTGTTCTGCAGCATTCGGACGGCATGGCATATCTCTAACTCGCGCAGATTGCGCCACGTATGGCTACTGGAGCAGCAATGACAGCATCGCGTGTTTCGACACGTACAACCAGTCCAGCCCAATGTTTACCGACCTGTCTGTGTCCAACACAATCAACCGGCAGTGGAACTGGTTTTGTGCAACGAGCCTTTCTTCTACTGGCAGGAGTACGTATCGTCCAGATGTGCATACGAAACTGAGCTCATTGACTCAGCGGCGCGCCCAAAAACGTGCCATCCATAGTGTCGCGCCTCGTGACGGCGGAATACTGGCAGCGCCAGTGCCCGCTCTTCTTCCCGGAGGAAGACGGCTACACGTACGGCAGCGCCAAGGGCAAGACGGCGGCCGACGTGAATGCGTGGACGAAGGGATGGTTCCTGACCAACACGACGCGGCTGATCTGGACGAACGGGTATGCCCCTAATTTGTCGAGCTGGCGAATGCCACAGAATGCTAACCAGAACCTGCACAGGGAACTCGACCCTTGGCGCAGCGCGGGCGTGTCGTCCAAGTTCCGCCCCGGCGGGCCCTTGCAATCCACACCGCAGGCGCCGCTGCAGTTGATCCCGGAGGGAGTTCACTGCTACGACCTGATTCTGAAGAACGCGGAGGCGAACGCGGGCGTGCAGAGGGTCGTCACCAACGAGGTGGCGCAGATCAAGGCATGGGTGAATGAATATTACCGGAAGTAGCATATACACAGACATCTGTACACAGATATAAACAAGAGTAGATATAGTCTATTGATCTAAGAGCTGAATATTATAATAGCATAATAATAGCATACTAGTGAAAGTACAGAGGGAAAGAATCTCCACAACTGGTTAAAGCATTCGTCGAAAGGGCGTCTGTATATACGTAGACAATATCGAATAGTAGTAATAGTAATATCCATTCACCTGATGATGGATAATTATGAGATATAACCTCATACATACAAGCATATATACATGCATACATACAAACAAATAAATAAATGAACAAAACTCCATTCCCAGACTCATTTCCCCTCCTTCCCCTCAACCTTATCCTCCTCCTTATTCTTAGTCTGTTCTACAGCCCTCCGATCAATCTCCCTAAGCAACCTCAAATCCAACGGCAACCTCTCCCCCAACCACGTCGCGCGCTGCGTATGATTCCTAACCTCCTCGCCCTCCGCATCCGTATTCGGATGCACCAGCGCACTCAGCGGCCCGCGGTTGATCACCAGCCAGGGAATAAAAGCCCCGAACTGGGCGGGTGTGAACAGGTTCACTTCGAACATGGCGACGGGGTGCGGGCCGACGGGGTGGTCGAAGAAGCGGTAGATGCGAAGTTCGGGAACTTAACACGCAGTCAAGTCAGTGTAAAAAAAGATACTTTTTGGTGGGGAAGTAGGGGGTTTGTAGGGGTTTGTACATACATTCCCTCCGAATCCGCTCGTGGAGAGCTTTTGCGTAGGCTACTTGTTCGGGGTTGTTCTGCAATACCCATCCGTCAGATACTATCCATCCATACGGAGTATGTCCAGAGGTACAGGTAGGTGAGGGAGGTGCGAACCTGAAAATGATAAATATGCACATCAAACCCCCCTCGTCTCCCCTTGGTCAACGGATCCGGGAACTCGTCGTAGGCTTTACTCCGTATGCCGTGCTGGGGGTTTTTGAGGGATTTGCCGTCTTCGTTTTTCTCTCTTTATATTTAACAATTAATAATTAGTGAGTATTTCTCTGTGTGTATTGTATGGATAGGGGGTTTTTTTTTGTACTCACTCCCCAAGAGGTTCCAATCCCTCGTAGCCTGCGAGGGGCCAGGGGTATTCGTAGGAGAAGGGGTCGGTCATATTCTTTCTTTTTCTTTCGTTCGTTCTTCTTTTGGTTTATTCTCTTGGTTTGTTCTCTTGGTTTGTCCTCTTGTCTCTGGTTTGAATGGAAGTTTTGCTTTGTTTTGTGATACTGGAACTTGTGATATGCTGAGGATTTTAAAAGACAACCCCGCGTGTAACGTCTGATGTCTTTGTCTTTGTTTCCAGGTAGTATGTATATAGTATAGATATATATATATGGAGGGGGTATAGGTAGATCTTATCAATCAGCCAATCAGTCAATCGATCGATCAATCACAATAAAACTCAGAAAAGATATATATAATATGACTAGTTGATAATGCTGTGGGTAATTAATAAACCTATCTGTCTGTTATTATATATAAATGCAAATGCAACCAACCTAGGCTGCTAGCCTGCTAGGCTGCTTGGCACAGCGGAATCCTCCGCGGACTCTTTAGTAATAATTCAAGCAGATGAGAAATCAACCTTAATAATGGCGCTATCGTCACCTGATTGGTATCTGAGCACATGATCTAGGTACTGTTTTTTTTATAGATAATGATCAATGATTAATTAACTTGCTCACTGGCACAAGTTTCTTGTTATTAGTATTACTAACTAATGTTTAGAATATTTAGAATATATATTTATGAATGATGATGGATGACTCCGCAGCGCGGCGTGCCGCACCGTCGTGGATGGCGGAATTGGAGCGGACTTGTAATAGAGTAACAACCGTTGAAACTAAAGTATACATACAGATCCAGGTATGGTTAGTATTTGGGTTACGTATAATATTTTTATACCCTCTAAGAATTGCATGTCAATTCGTTTCATGTCCTCCTGGTGAAAACCCTTTTAAACTGAACCCCACAGTAAGTAGATCGATACCGTAGCTGTCTATTATTACGATACGATGGATGGAAGAATACTGGTGATTGGTGTAGACATGCTTGTATGCAATGTTCTATTGAAGTCCTGTTCTTGACGCTACCACGGCGCCTTCACATCATAATGCCCATCGCTCATCACCTTCCCTCGATCCCACTCGCGCCCCTCTCCCTTCTTCGCCCACCGCACATCCTCGATTCTCCCCTCATAGCTCGTTCCCGTAAAAGCCGGGTCTTTCGTCCATCGCTCCACTACTTGCTCCCCAAACCCGGCCGCTCGCAGCCGCTCCGCTCCCTTCTGTTTCCATTGAGCGCGATCGCGCAGCGCTTCGAGCGCCATGTCCCAGTCGTCGTCTTCCGTCATTAGTCCCGCTACCGGCCGCCGCTTGGGCCGTGTCGAAGCCGTATCGTCCTCCTCCTCTAACCGCACATCCAGATTCGGGTCGTAATCTGGCGCAAAATGTGCGTCGATATTGCTCTCCTTCGATCGATATGCTCCTCGTCCCCGCGACGGAACGGAAGCAGTCTGGTGTCTTTGATGAGCGTCTGGTGGAAGTGGTCCGATCAGATCTTCTAGAGGATCCGAATCTTCGTCTGAAGAATGATGGTCTGTAGTTTGCCGCAATGGTGATGGCGATCTATCTTTAGACTCTCGCTGTCGATCTCGAGAGTAAGACGTAGATGGACTGTTTCTATGCCTATCCCTTTCACGACTGTCCCTTTCACGACTATCCCTGTCACGACTATCTCTGTCACGACTATCTCTGTCACGACTGTCCCTGTAGTCATCATCATATGCTCGTCTCGAAGCTCTCGGTGATCGCGAACGGGGCGATCTAGATCGAGACGAGTGTCTGTGTCGGTGGCGACGGCTGTAATTCCTGTCTCGTTCACGTCTCGACCGGCTCGGTGAGCGGGAAGACTCTCTTCGTCGCCGCGATCGGTCACGGTCATCCCGGCGACTATGTCTATGTCTCCTCGAGCGGTGATGGTCACTCTCACTCTCACTGTCGGTGTGGTGTCTTCGTCGCCGCCGTGAGCGATCGTCGCAGTCGCTGTCTACGGAATCCTCATATCGCAACCGACGGGAGTGGTGGCGGTCCGCACGATCATCATCTCTGTATCGCTCACTCTCCCGCCTTTCTCGATCGCGACCTGATCTCCGCGAGGAGGTCGAGCCGTGTAGCCGCCGCATCCGCTCCCGTGCATCTTCCTCCTCCTTTCTCCTGAGTGCCGCATTGTGGCTGTCTGTTTCCCTGAGGATGTTCTTCAAAAAGCGTGTGTTGGGCTTGGGAGGTTTCCCCGTAGATCTGCGATCGTCTCATCAGCTGGAAAATCATCAGCGCAATGGCTAGGATGACCTACCTCCGAGGCAGATAAGCCTCTAGCCCGAGAGCAGAGTATTTCAGAGATCTGTCCCGCGCATCTCTGGCCAGCAGCTGCGCGACGTACTCGTCATTGCTGGTGGGATCATCGATCGCTTCCTCGAGGGGAGGCATCTTGGAGAGGTAACGAATGACAACCTGTCGGGACACGAGAACCAATAACAGTGGCAGCAAAGGCTGCAGCAGAGCAGCCGTGCTACCTCCAGAATCTCATAAGTCGTATAGACTGGTGCTGTGATGCGCAGCTGTCTATCAGATGAAACGCCGCTCTTGTTCGCCGTATCCGGTGACTTCACCGCAGCAAACAGGACAAACATGCCCGATAAGGCGTTGTTTACTTCGCGGGACTGACGCCGCGACGAACAATTAATGAATATCCCCGCCGAGCACGTCGACAAGAATTATTCTGAGTCTAGATATATCGTTACTAATATCTCCTCTTTCAGACTGCAACCACTGCGAGACAGAAATCCGACAATGGCCCCCTTATCCCCCGCAAAAGCACTCGCCAAAGTCCAACAACTGCAGAAGGGACAGGATGGACCGAACTCGCATCTGGCCATCATCCGTATCAGCGAACCGATCACCTCGGCGTTGGATATCGCCGAGTTGAAGCGGTCGCCTTCGAAGCGCACGTCGGATGCATCCGCAGACGCATTGGACAACCCGACTCCGGCGTCGTTGGAGGCGGATCTGACGCATTACAAGGTACGGACGGAGACGCGATCGATCACCCGCATTTCGCGATTTCCTTATGCTAATGGTGAAATCGTTTATAGGAGCTATTCTCGAAACTCCGTTTCTCGTACCTCGAACAGGTGACCAAGGAGAAATTCCTGCGCGCCATCGTCGGCGATCCACCCCTCGTCGTGAGCCATAATGAGAACGTCGAACTAGAGGCAGAGTTGGCGCAAGTCAAGCAGGAGCTCAAGAAACGAAAGGAGGAGGTGCGGATCATGGTGGAAGAGATGGAAAAGACAGGGCGAGAGCTTGCAAGACGTGAGTTTTTTTTTCCCCTTCCGGTGGGACAGCGTGAACTGATGGTAAATAGGGTACAAGAACGTCCAGCTGCAGACAACCCAGCTGGAGACCCTCCCCGAAAAAATTGCCAATCTCGAGAACACAATTGCGTCGTTGCGCGCGTCCCAGGCTGCCAACGCTACTGTCGCTGATCCGAACAATCCCTCGTCCTCACAGAATCTCCCTCTCCCTGCTACACTCTCGTTGCTCGCGGAACGCGAGGCCGAGTTAGCTGCCTTGGACAGGCAGTTGGCCTCCTTACACAACACCCTCCCTCGGAAGACGAGGGAGGCCGAGGCCATAGAGCGCGAACTAGGCGTGTTGGAACGAAGAAAGGGTGAAGCTCTTGCGCAAGCACGCGAGGCAAAGAGGAAGAAGCGTGAAGGAGAGAGCGACGGTCTTGAGGAGATGGGCAGGTGGTACCGGGGGGCTGAGATGAGCTTGAAGAAGCTCGTCGATGTGGAAGGCTAAATAATTCGTCTTTTTTTTTTCGTTTGTATTCCACGACTTACGATGGCTTATTGGTTAAGGCGTTTGGGGGTATATTGTGGAATGGATGACCTTTGTCTGGGCGCAGGACGCAGTTTGAATTTTAAATTTTATATTTTCGCGAATATGATATTTTCTCCCAAAAGGAAAGCCACCTGGCTAGCTTTGTTCATATGAATCATGATCATACAGCATGTTTTGCTATGCTGCAGCCGCCTAAACTCCCTTAAGAGAACCCGTCCATATGGAACCTTTTTTAAGCGCACACGTTTATTCTTCCTCCTCCTCAGCTTCCTCTGCACCACCACCCTCAGCAGCGCGAGCCTTCTTCCGCCGGACACGGCCAGGGCGGCCACCACCGAACGGAGAGGTGAGGGCGAAGTCAATGTGCTTCTGGGAGTCCAGACGGACCATGTAGGAAGGCACGTTGACGATCTGCTTGCCGACACTATACCACAGTCAGGAACCATATACCCGTAGTAAAATCCATCGACATGAAACATACCGGATGTGGCGCTGCCGGATCAGGACACGAGCGTGGTGGATGGACTTGGCCAGACCCAGCTTGTAGACGCAGGTCTGCAGACGGCGCTCCAGGAAGTCTTCAATCCTCAGAGCCAGCACATAATCGAGCTTCATGCGGGACTCGTCGAGCACACCGATACGGACAAGACGACGAATCAAGGCATTGCCCTCGAACAGACGCTTGGGGTCCTTCTCGTCGAGAGTAAGAAGCTCACTGACAAATCCCTTGTCAGCCTCAATCCTATGCGCAGAACCTCCAAAGGAGTCCTACCGAGCAGCACGACGGATCTTGGACAGAGTAAGCTGGACACGCCAGACCTCACGCTTGTTGCGCAGACCGTACTCGCCGACGATCTTCAATTCCGAGTCACTATCGAAGAGGCACGTTAGGACACGGACTACTACACGACATAAACAGAAGCACGCTTCTGCTTAGTGGCCGGGGAGTACTAACAGACGAGCCGACTCGTAGGCTGCCGAATTGTTAGTATCGGTCGTAGAAGTCGATATTTTTGCCAAGGGAATACTCACGTCGACGAGGGACCTTGTAGGTCTTGGAGCAGGGACGCCTGGAAAGGAAGCGATATTAGAAACCGACAGACCACTCTCGCATTGCTCTCGTGGTGATACTCACGGGACTGGGGCCATGGCTGCGGTGCTGCGCTCCCGATTGTCGCTGAAGTTGAAGACGGAACGAAGTCGACAATTTCAGCGAGAAGTTCTAAAGGCACGAAGTGGAGGAGGTTCGGCGCGCCGCCTAAGCGAGTGGTGGTGGGTCCCGATCGGGGTTAGCGGCAGGGTTAGCCCTGGCCTTGGCAAACCCTCGCACTAACACCCGAACGCCCAGCATCGTCAAAAGTTGCGGGAGGGACTTCTCCGTTGTCGACAGCTTCACGAAGACCAGCACCACCACAACACCGCCAAAATGGGTCACGCTCACGGTCTGAGATCGGGCACGCGGGTACGTTAGGATGCTGTCCTTGGCTGATATTTTGCGATACGGCCCTGATCAGCGCGCTGACCACCCTTGACAGTATGCCTTCTCGCGCGGCTTCCGGAAGCATGGACAGATCCCTCTGTCCACCTACCTGAAGCAATACCGGTACGAACAAACCACTGGCGAATTGAGTTGGAATCCAGGAGTCTGACAAGCAATGAAACAGCGTCGGTGACATCGTCGACATCAAGGTCAATGGTGCGGTGCAGAAGGGGTCAGTCTACCTTGAAATTATCTCGTCAAAACTGCCGTGCTCGAGCGCTGGCTCCGCGGCAACATCTGGAGGAGGACCATTTACTGAGATGTGTACAGTATGCCCTACAAGTACTACCACGGCAAGACTGGTGTGGTCTACAACGTGACCAAGTCCGCCGTCGGTGTCATCGTCTACAAGCGTGTCGGCAACCGCTACATCGAGAAGCGCATCAACGTGCGCATCGAGCACGTCACCCACTCCCGCTCCCGTGAGGACTTCCTCAAGCGTGTCAAGGAGAACGCCATCAAGAAGAAGCAGGCCAAGGAGCAGGGCATCCACATCCACCTGAAGCGACAGCCCGCTCAGCCCCGGGAGGCCCACGTCGTTGAAGCCGAGGGTAACTTCCCTGAGACGATCACGCCCATCCCGTACGACACCCACATTTAAAGGAATGCATTCGGTGGATCTGGGTATTCGGTGTTTTGTATGTTTCCCACCGGGTGGTGGACTGCATGAGATGAAGCGAAACTGTTTGGGAAGTCTTGGCACGTTTTCATTGTGCATAGAGTCCCTCGATGAGAAAAGCAAAAAATAATATCCAAAATTTTCGAAACGTGTTCTGGAAGATCTCCCATTGGGTGCAGTTGTGTTTCTGCCGCTATTTTCACTCTGCGAGGAAGACGATGCCGCGTTACGCCGACATGGTTGCATGCAGACCTGTTCTCGCGTGGTCTGGCTTCGCTTTCGGGATGCACCAGGTCCAGTTGAAGGTTTCGACGGATCTCGACAGCCTAAGGCTTGAAGCGTTGAGCACTTAGTCACCATGACTCATACTAAGCCTTGCGAATTTTCAGCGTACTATACTTGGTTCTTCCCTGGACCATCTTCCTGAGGATTGCGTACAAAAGTGACAGGGTTTTACTGCGAGCAGTAGATAATTAGCAGCGTAGAGTACCAAATCTCCAGGCCTACTAGGTTATTTCTTTGCTTCCTCAGTCACCGATTTTTCGATGCTGAGGCGGTCGGCGCTGGAGTCGCTCCCGATTGGCTGGCCGGGAGCCTCCAATCAGGAAGCCGATAACTCCGCAGAAAAAGTTTCGGCGCGATCCCATCGAGGCAAGAGACTCCTGTGCCGGCCAAAACATCTTCCTCCTTTCTGCTTCATTGTTTCTCCTTCTCCTGTACACTTGTTTTCTTCCGGAATAGGAAATTTTTCAATTGCCAGATGTTATAGAACGGGCGTTTGGGCTATATGTGGATGCGCGTCCCGTTGATCCTACGCCCAGAATACCTCGACGTCTGACGTTTATGGCCTTCCCAACACCTTCCCACGGCAGCTCTGCGCAGGCGCATCTGCCCAGTAAAACCCCGACCGATCATGCTGCTGTGCAATCCCGGGAGGCCGGGGAAATCGTTCCGGAAGCGAGCAAGGTACCTGCCAAAGATGCAGAGCAGAAGCCAAAGGCGAAGCCCCTAGCCCATTTCATCGCCGGAGGGTATGCGAGAGGAAAAAATAACCAACCCCTGTTCACTATCTCGTCGGGGCTGATGTTTGTGTGCCAGGATCGGTGGCATGACTGCCGCAACTCTCACCTCGCCTCTCGATGTTCTGAAGACGCGTCTCCAGTCCGACTTCTACCAAGCCCAACTGCGATCTCTTCGTGCCGCACATGCCCTTCCTCAGAACGCCTCACCGCTGATCGCCCTGCCTCGAAGTGCTCTGCTACATTTCAGTGAAACATTTCAGATCCTTCGCTCGATATATGTCCACGAGGGATGGCGCGCGCTCTTCAAGGGCCTAGGACCCAATTTGATTGGCGTCGTGCCTGCGCGTGCCATCAACTTCTACGTCTACGGCAATGGAAAGCGGATCCTGAGTGACTACTTTGGCTACCGAGATTCGAAGGAAACGCCCATGGGCATCCACCTCAGCGCGGCCGCCATCGCAGGCATCGCTACCGGCACTGCTACGAACCCAATCTGGCTGGTCAAGACGCGGTTGCAGCTGGACAAGTCGAATGCGGAAAATGGCAAAGGGCGCCAGTACAAGAACAGCTGGGATTGCGTCAAGCAAACGGTTCGTCACGAGGGCATCCGCGGATTGTACAAGGGTCTCTCTGCTTCGTACCTGGGTGTGACCGAGTCCACTCTTCAGTGGGTGATGTACGAGCAGATGAAAAAGATCCTCGCTCGTCGCGAAGCCGCGAAACTTGCGGACCCCAACCACGTCCACAGCCTCTGGGATGACGTGGAGCAATGGGGAGGACGAGTTGGATCGGCCGGGATGGCAAAGCTGATCGCGGCTGCGGTAACATACCCTCATGAGGTTGTCCGTACACGGCTGCGACAGGCGCCCACCGTGCCGGTTGGCGGAGGCAAAGTCCAGATGAAGTACACCGGTCTGGTGCAGTGCTTCAGGACGGTGTGGAAGGAAGAGGGGATGCTCGGACTGTACGGCGGGTTAACACCGCACCTGCTCCGTGTCGTCCCGTCTGCCGCCATCATGTTTGGCATGTAAGTATACACATGCAATCCTGTATGCTGCATCACGATCTGACAGTCGATCAGGTACGAGTTAATTCTCCGTCTATTTGGAACGACCGCGTAACATGCGCCCTGTCACGCCACCGCCAGTTATTATTTGTATTTTATTATTTATTTCACTGTACAATAAGATCCTCGCCCCTTTTTACCTTCTCGATATATTCGACAGACACGAGCATACATTTTAGTTTCCATGTACCAGCTTTAATTAATACGACAGACAGAACGATTGCATGTCCGATGTCCGTGATATGATGGCGCGGGTGGGCGTGTGTGCGAGTCGTCAGTTCTGCAGAATCTGATTGCGAATTCAATTCAAATCATCCGTGGATGGATGGATGGATGTGATCATCAAATCAAGCCTGTATTAACTAACCTAGCGGCGTTTTGTTCCCTTTTCTTTTTTTTTTTGGATGGGAGTCGAAGGGGGGAGTCCTAGACGATATATGTAAGGGATCAAATCTTTTTTTTCTTTTTTTTTGTGTCGTGATAGAAAAACAAAACAAAAATATGTAGATGAGATGAGATGAGATGAGAGATGTATTGTATTGTATTGTTATATGCTGATATTGAGATTGAGATTGTACTGTACTTTCATTATCTATGTTGATAGTCTATATTCTACTCAATTATTACCTATGTAGGTAGTAGGGTAGATAGGATAGGTAGATAGCAAACGTTACTTCAACTCAACTCGACTCTTGAGAACCTCTTTAGAACTGGCTGTGTTGTTTCTTGCTTCACAATAAAAAAAGCAAAGAAGAGAAGCAATGCTCCTACTGGACGTATGGAAATCACCTAGTTGTTGTGATGTATTTTACAATAGACTGGCCTAAAAATATATATGTATATATTTTTTTTAAAAGGGGGTTGGGGGTTGGGGTATTATATGCTGGTCATGATGGCCATCAAACAAGTCCAGTATACTAGACAGATCAACGCGAATGATACGACCGTTGACGAGAGAGAGAGAGAGAGAGAAGAGCAGTTTTTGAAGGAGAATTACATATTTCTGATTCGGAATAGCCTGAGGGGGTATATATATACGGGTATCTAATTACTCCAGTCATAAACGTGGATAGCGTACCAACGAGGGTCCCCAGCTAACGCTTAATACCAGCTTTTTGTTTCAGGAAAGACGCTTTCCCAGCCAGGCAACTCGGTTATTTTTGGAACAAACCACAGCCACGTGACGAGTCCTTATCGGGGTGCTGTTACCATATCGGGAAGGACGTTCGACGTTTTGCGGAGAAGTGTCGAGTGGAACCATCGATCGCATCGCTGATAACGCGAACAGTCTGCGCACGAGCCTGGTGGCCAGCGTTTCATTACCACGTGCGTCGCGGACGACTGCTTAGATCTGCAGATCTGCTACATGTTGGCTGCGCGCTCGTTTCAAGTAAACAACGGACAGAAACACCACATCTGTAGAGATAAGATGGTGGAGCACTGGGAGTCTGAGATAGAGTCTCAATGAATTCAATTGCCCTGTCAAGTAAACTCTAATTGTGGACATGTCTATTCCTATTCGTAGATCTTGTAGATGTATTTAGGCTTGTAATGTTTCTGGATCGCTGCGCCATCTCCCTCTGACGTTAGCAGTCAACCCGTCATCAATATCCACCACGTTTTTGCTCTTTTTGGATCTTGCTTCCTGCCAGGCTATGTTTGTATCCGTTTCATTATGGCAATTCGTGAATGTCTTCCTTGTCTATAAATCTTCCTGCTTCCCTCGTCTGGATTTTTCTGTCGTTCATCATTCGCTTGCAATATAATACGGAAGTCGTCTTTGTTATCCTTCAAGATTGAATTCGACTGCAAGTTTTTGTACTTCTTCTCAATATAACCATGCTTAAGACTTTTGTACTTTCTGCTGTGGCAGCAACCGCGTTTGCTGCACCTGCAAAATTGTATTTGCAGCCCAGCAAAGATGCAATTCTATCGGTTGATCAGTCACTGATAACACCAAACTGCTCGCTTGCAAACGTCTCCATGAACCTGGGAAATGTCAGCCTTCCGCCGCCATCTGGGCAGAAGTTGCTTCACGTGGCTGTGGGGCGAGGTATCCAGGTGCGTCCAACTATCGCTAAAAAGTCCATGCCATGTCACTGCTGACTTTTTGCAGAATTACACCTGCTCCTCCCCAGAGTCAGCGCCAACCGCCGTGGGCGCAATTGCCACCCTGTACGATGCCGGCTGTCTTGCCGCACACCAGCCAGCCGTATTCGATCTCACCCCCGATATCATCCTCCAGTTCTCTCTTCAAACCGAAGCATCCGCAACCTTGAGCAATTTCAACACCAATATCCTGGGTCACCACTTCTTCTTGAACGCATCCACCCCGGTTTTCGATCTCAACACGCCCGACGCGAGTTTTGGAAAAGTGATTGCGCAGAAGCTGAATTCTACCAATGCCCCTGCCGGCTCTCCCGCAGGCCAGGCGTCGAACAAGAATGGCGCAGTGCCGTGGCTCTTCCTTGACGCTGCAGCGGGCACGACTGGAAACGTCCGCAGTGTCTACCGCACCCACACAGCCGGTGGTAATCCCCCTGCGACGTGTTCCGGCTTGCCTGCAGCGTTTTCTGTCGAGTATGCGGCGAAATACTGGTTCTGGGGTTGAAATGTAGGAACTGACCTGAGAGTAATATCTCGCCGCAGATTCCATCTGATGACCGCATGACCCAGTGATCTGTTGTATATATTCGAATTCTGCTTGCTCTGGCAGTTTCTATATAATAGAATAGATTAGCAAATCTGCTAGCTGATCGTCTTGCGACATGTGTGTGCAGCAGTGCCAATGACTGAATACCTGACTCAGATGACAGCTGTCATAAACGAAAGTTTCGTCCATGACGAATCATCACGAGAGACGCGCTGCCGTCCACGGTTCCAGTCGTGTCCAGACGGCACGAACCGAACAATAAAGGTTGGTGTCGCGTCGAGCTTCACCGCTCTCCTAGGCACAATTTTCCAAAACCTGCAATTCTATTCTGCATTGATCGTTGAATCTCAGCTTCAATTCTCAACCTGCATACTCGAACCACTTGACGTCTTGAACAACGTTTCACCATGTCGTATAACGGAAAAGGGATACACCTACACTGGCTCGGGGACTAACAGCCAGGTAAGTTGCTTCATTACAGCATTTCGCCTGAGAACCTGCATCCTCAGACTGTGTTGCTTGTGCAAATCTAGTCCTGCTGCGTTGAGCAGCTATCAGCGTTGCCCACACTAATCGACTCCTTGCTAACTGGCCTCATCCAGGGCAACCACTGGTGCTCTCGAGACTACGGAACTGGATCACACTCCAATGGCTACGGCCGTGGCGATGCCTATCACTATTCCAACGCGTAAGGCCTCTCCATTCCATTGTGTGCAATTCTCCACATCTGTCGTGGGAGTGCTACAGTTTACTTTCTTGACTTGTCTTGAGCTGATCCTAAATTTCAATTGCTTTTGTTTTGTACTGTACATAGGGACGGATCTTACTACTACAAAGAACTCCAATGGCAGCACCTATTACAATGACGGAAAGGGTGGTTCCGTTTACACTCCACCGGGTGGAAAGAAATGATGTCAGCGTAGCAGGGATTGAAAGTGCAGGATTGATTCGACCACTCCGGAGTAGTATGGGTTATGGCTAGTCTAGAATCGAGAAACGAAACTTGTAGTACGGAGTACTCCGGATGATCTACACCTGTTCGCCTGTGGGACTGCTTAGCATGAGATTAGCATTATTGTAGGTTCTCTAACTGAATACGTACGGAGTATACGGAATGGAATTCCGTATCGTATACTACAGAGAATTAGTATTATCATAGTACTCCGTACCACGATCTGCCTAAGACTGCCTTGCAGAGAACCCGCTGTGTCATGCTGCATGCAGAGACGAGACCCACATGCCTGCATCCGTACTGTACTGTAGTACCACTTTTTTTTTTCTGATTGGTAGATAGTAAAACATTGCCACGTGGAAGACGTAGTACTACCTACAGATGCATGCATGCAAGTTACCTACTCCGTATTTATTGAAATTTGCCACTGCATTATCTATCTTATCATCTGTCCCATCCCCTTTCTTGCATTAACATACTCCGTATGGGGTTTAATTTTAAATTTTATTTTTTTTTTTAAAAAGGTCAACGAGCGAGGCGAAGCAAGCGGAACATGCACGAGTACGGAGTACTGTACTGTACGTACTCCATACCGTCAGCCGTAGGGTATTATTATTGTCTCTTGACTCCCGTTTGCACAGTACGGTTTGATTCCGCTCGTCATGACCTCTTGCTGGAGACGAGGCAGCTAGCCTAGGTACAGTACACAATCTATATGAAATGTATGTGCTACTTGGTAGCTAGCTAGCTACCTAAGGAGTACGTACTATGGTCTGGTTGACTGAATCCACCTACCTAGGCTATGTATGTACATACATGTACAGTAGGTGGTAGGTAAGTGATTTCCAATGGCTGCGCCACCACCTGTCTGGGGTCCTAGACCTTGCAAACTCAAAATCAAACCGAAAAAAAAAAGGCAGCACGTGTGCAAAAGTGAGGCGGCGGATCCTAAAACAGAGTATACTCCGTCATTATCAAGATCAGCTGTGTGGTGGGCGCAGCACACTGGTGCCGTTTAATATCGTATCGTTCGTACAGAGAGGGACATGACATTGAAACAAGAGTGAGAGCTATTCCACACCCTCTTTATTCTGTACTAACTCTGTAAACATCCATATTTTCTATTCCATTGAACCTATGAAGGACTTGCAGTTTTTCTTTTTTCCTTTTTTTTTTCTTTTTCTTTGGTGTCCAAGATTACATGTACTCTACTGAAATGGTAGTTTAATCTTAGTATTCATTTTTTTTTCTCTTGTTCGTGTATTCATGCTAAGACTTCCAGCTACCTCCTGATCTGGGATCAGCAAGCTTCTCGTTTTGGACCTTACCGTTTTGGACGAATCCCACCCGCAACGGAGAGGATTCGCCGAGAGAGGAAAGGTCTACTCTAGTAGAAGATTTGTTTGATAGACGTGCCAAGACAACCAGCTCCCTCTTGACGCGCATGCGATAGGGGGTAACGTAATTACGGAGTGGATGGATCGAGTCGGGTCGGGATCCCGATCAATTCACACCAGGCGGAGCCCGATGCGGGGATAGTTAATCAGCAGTCTCTGTTTCGCCACACTGCACAGGCGGTGTTGACAATACTCCGTACAGTAACTAGACAGTCAGGTGACAGACGCAATACGGGATAGTTTAGCGCATTCGCATTGGAGCTTGACGTGGACAAGATCAACAAAAAAAAAATCCAGTTAGTCACCGGTTTCTGGAAAAGGTCCGTGTAGTCCACTGGATTAACACTAAGATCCATGATGGTATTCTGGAATCTGGATCCAGGGTCCGCTCCCGTCGGATCGACCGCCCGACTCGTGATTGGATGGCGAATCAACAACGACCCGTCGCCTGCAAGAAACTCACACCTGCATGGATGGAGGATTTACTCCAACAGCACCTTCCTCCGGGCTGGATTGCGTACCTCTCTGTACGGAGTACTTCCTACAAGCAGCATAAGCAGCAGACCCGCCAGCCTGCTGTACGGAGTATACGGAGTACTCCACAATTCTCCTGCGTGACCAAGCCGTCCTCTTGTCAATGAGGATGGTCTCCAGAGCAGCCCTGGATCCAGGCAACGAATTCTTTCTAGTCATCACATACACTGTTGCAGCTGGTTTCACCAATGGAGAAAAGAGCGCATCCTGGTGAGGTGGAATTATGATTGTTTCGTTCTCGACCAGAATCGACCATCAGTGACGGAGTGCGGCGAGTCGCTGGCGACAGGTCAAGCTAGTAGGCGCGGAGCAGTCGCACTAATCGATGATCGACTTACGGAGTACTGACCCGGACCAAGACCCACTGAATTAATGCCTCTACGGAGTCTCCGTACAGAGTACAGAGGACGTTGTAAATTACAACAATTCAGCCTCGGACACACGTTTCGATCACCGTAACGGTGTAAACCAACCTGTTTTTTGCAACCATGATCATCAATCAACAAGGCCGCGGCTAGCAGCGAGTAGGAAAATAGTCTGGTCGGGTTCACTGAATCCACGCTAGCAGCCTAGCCTAGGTAGGTACAGGGCATCATGGCTTAGACCCATTCTTCCAGTTGCCTTATCCTTATTGCACCCGAAAACCATCCCAAGCACGTCGTCGCCCAAGATCCCTCTGGCGATGAACTACAGTACCATCCAAGGTCCAGAAGGACAGTCGCTCTTCTGGCCTTCTCTCTTTTGAATTCCCCTCCGCTCCAACGGCTGGCAGTCTCGATCTACAACCATCGGACTCTACCTAGGTAGCTAGCTCTACTTGCCGCCTCCGCCTATTATCTTATCTCCCCGGAGCTTGCCAGACAGAGCGGTTCTTCGCAACGGTTACGTTGTCATGGCTGACAAGAGAGACAACAGAGACCAGAGATACATCTGGGGAAAGTGAGTTGATTCTTAATTTTTTTTTGTTTTTTTTCCCCCTTGTTTTCTCTCTCCTGCTGTCATATTCTTGGATGAGTTCGACGCCTCCATCACCGCATTAATTCATTATTTCCTTTCATGCACCATACCGGATGACAACAACCTGGTTTTTTTTTTTGCTTGTATTGACACCATGAATACACTCCTGTATCTACCTATTTTTTTTTCTTCTTAACGGAACGATGATTGATGTCCGCAGGGGAGGCCTCAACGGCGGTCCTACCCGAAGCCACAGCTCCGACTTCAACCACATCGGCGCCGGGGCTAAGCTGAACAACCACCCGGATACCCAGAGCCAGAGCCAGCAGCACGCCGTCGCCAATCCCGCCAACCCCGCTGATCCCCTGGCAGGCCTCGATCATCACCGCGTCCGCTTCGACGCGAACAACAACGATGATCTACCCGCCATGATCCAGGCCATGCAGAACGAACATCCGAATGAAGGACCTTGGAATGCCCTCCACCTGCAGCAGTAACCGAAGAAGAAGTATTCGATTGCGACGCACTTAATAAATAAAGCTTTAATTTAATTCGATTCGGTTCTCATGTTGTCTCTATGCTCACGTCAGCTCAGCGTCTGCGTCAGCACTTTCCCGCAACGACGACCGTCCAGACATCGGGCTTCTCACCTGGCCCATTACGAGATATTTGCATCGAGGATTTCGGCGTTAGGATTAGATTTGATGTACGTAGTAATGATTTCGGGATTTTTTTTTTACGAAGTTACGAGATAATATGATTTTACGGATAAAAATTATTTTTCTTGCTGAGCGGACTGGCGTTGAGAATGGACCTGGACAGCATGGTTCGTGTGCATCCATATATACATCTATGTACTGTACATATACACTTAGAGGGATCGGGAATTTTTTTTTTTGTTGAATAAATTCGGCGTTGGCACGGCATGCAGATGGGCAGCTGTCATTCGTCTGTCTCCTCTTGTCTCGTGACGTTGCATCCTGCATTCCGCATGCTTTCTCCTATTTCTCCTGGATTTCTGTCCTCTCTAGGTAGGTAGCAGGTATCTACCAGTATATATACCTAAGGTTAAAAAAATACGACTGGGTGGACAGGACAGAACCGGATCTCGTATTCTGCGACACAGGCCCAAAGATCACCTCTCCACCCGGACCGACGCCACTCGCCAGTGCCACACACACCCAGAGATAATTACTGTACTGTAAAGTGTGAACAGTACTTTCAGTACTAGGTATTATCACTTATCACACCGCTCACCGCTTCGAAGAATTCCTGCGTCTTGTCTTGTCTCGTCTCGTCACAGCCACAAGGCACACTCATAGGATGAGACGGCAATGGAGTCTGCCTTGCGGAGAACGGAACAAGGCTATATTACTTCGGCAGTGTTCCGTACTCCGTACGTGGCAGCTCATAAGAGTTGTGACAAATAAATAGTTAATTAGTTCTTTCATTGATTATAGGAACTTCACAAATTATGTACTGTATAGCACATACAGTACTCTGAATGCTATGAGTGAGCGTGGCATGGTATGGACTTACGTTTTATTTCAATCAATAGACTATCGTTTCATTTATTTCAATTCATTTCAATTCAGTCAATTTTTTTTTTTCATCGCGCCTGAGCTTCATAATGGTAATCATCTGTACAGAGTACAAAGTACCTAGTTAGGACTCTGAATAGTAGAGTAAGTGTCTGTTACCAATCTGAGTACGTACATACCTCCCTACAAGTATATAGGCAAACTGACTATAACCTTGTTAATCAATCCAATTTTTTATCCATTTTTTTAATAATCCCTTTATTAGTCAAAAATTACTAATAATACCTACCTACCTACCTAGGTACATGCCTAACCTGGACTTAAGTGTGGCAGGAGAAACGGGTTATTATTTGTCGAAGAACAGCTAGCTACAATACCCCCACGCCACTGCTGAACTGATTGATCTGACTGATCTGCGGGAGTCAGGCTAGGCTCGGAGCTCGCTCTGTTCTGGAACCGAACAGTTTATTTATTTAGCCTTTTCGGATGGGCGCCTGTCCTTTCGTTCGTTCGTTGGCATAGCATGCCCAACCAAGCCTCGGGTTTGCCGGCGGCGGCAGTCCACTTGAAGTCAGGCGAACTCCAAAGGCACTACTTACTGTGGAGTAAAAATGGTTAAGGTAGTCTAGTTTAGGTACCTCTAGTTGGGTGGGTGGCCTGAAATGGCAGAAACTGGAGGACATAGGTAATTACTTAATCTACCGTTCCAACCAGTAAATATACTTGTAGCTTAACCATAACCAATAACTCAGCAATAATTAAGGACAGAGCTAGAATCGTAGAATTCTGGAATTCTAGAATTTCTATCACCATTAGTGCATGAATTGCTTACTTACTTACCCCGTTTCCACGTGCGTACCCGGTACACACATATGTGGGGAATAAAAGAAAAAGAAAAAGAAGAAAAGAAAAGAATCCCTGTTGGGGGCCTTGTCCAACTCCTTCCCCTCCCCCCTGCCCCTTGTAGCAGCTTGCATTGCATGGCTATGAATAAGGTATCTATCTCCGATTCGAACCTTCGCGGCAATTACTTAATTAGGAAGGTACCTACATACATACAGCCATCATCATCTACAAATCACAGATTACTTGCTTAACTTTGACTCGAGCAGCTGGATCTGCACACATGCAAGTGCAAATGCAGCTGCAGCTGCAACGGCTGTTTCAGCCTTCTTCTGCTGGAACGATCGATCTGTTGAGCCGCAGCTTCCACCAGCTTCTAGAAAGAGTAGGAGTGAGGGCTCTGCTGGACTGCCCAGGTGGTGGTGAATGCATGCCTAAGGAGGAAGGTGCGAGGATACAGGTAGGTAGGTAGGTGACGCTCGCACCTTCCGTTTCCGTTTCGGAATAGGAGGGTTGGAGACTGCCTTCCCTAACAAGTCTCTGACCTGATATGTGTTTGTGCACCTCAGCAGCAGGATCCTTTCTTTCTTTCTTTCTCCATTTCAAGTGGAAGTCGCTTTCTCAAGTCATTGCTGTCTTTTAGAACTAAAGATACGGAAATACTCTGCTTTTATCCGCCATATACCATCGTATTATGTCTATAGCAGGTCAACGCCCTGCCTCTATCCTACACCTCTTGCAAGCAACGCCAGTTCTATGCAAACACAATATGTGACAATCAGCAAGATATGCAAAACTATTCCTACAACTGTTAACCCAATCCCGCACGCCATAACTCCACCCTCAATGAGACGAAATGCTGACACAAGCCTACCCAAGCCGAGTCAGATGGAACACGTAGAGCAGGCAAAGACGAATACCTAGTTGAGCCCACCACGCAAGGCTACCCCCTGGACGGGTTGTGGCTAGCGTGATTGGCCATGCTGTGGCTTCGCGCCATGGACGACTGCATCTGGGCTGTGTCGTTCACAGTCCAGCTGTGATTCCAAGCTGTAGGGAGCGACGCCCTGTTCGCATGCGCATCAGGCTCGCCCAGCTCGGGCAGGTGATCCGGCCGTTGACCTGGGTCGACGAGATGGAGGCCCAGTCCTTGAAAGTCGGGAGGGTTGGGTGACATCCTGTCGCAGTCAGTAACTTGACACAGGCACGAACTGATAGAAACGACTACCTCGACGCAGTCTGCCCTCCATGAGCCTCGGAGACGGTCCCTGCCCGCGATGTCTGGCCAGTGGCCATCTCTCCGTGACCGGTTTCGTTGCCAGGGCCTGCACCAGATGCCATGTCGAAGCTGTCACTGATACTGCTGGACAGTTTGAGAAATTCAAGGACAACAACAGAGTCAGCGCAGTAATAAAGAGTGTCCGAACAGATTGAGTGTTAAGGAAGGTGGTTGTGTTGGAGAAGCATGGAAGGTGGAAGGAAGACCAGCATTTAAGCAGGAGCAAACTCTGCCAGGAAAACTAAGAAACCGCTGCAGGCAGAAACAGGTAGCAGGATCATCACGCCATAAGGAAGAACGTGAATCCATTAAAATGCAGACAGCGCATTTCATCACATCCAATAGCAGCTGCTCTGCTCTGTGCACAATACACACCGCAAGAAAGAAATTGACGGTAAAGAAGCAGGGCCTGCTGTCATTTACAACGGCAAGAAACAAGAAAATTCATTTGCTGCTTTCAATCAGCTAATGAGCCAACCGGCAGTGGAGCCTGGGGACGATCCGCAGAACCAAAGTCGCACTCCCAAACTCTCTCCAGAGCCATGGATGTTCGCGAAGCTGGGTGAATTCTCCGGGTCGAATCAACCACGCGGGGGACGATTCCTCGGATCCTGACGAGCAACCGTGGTTGAGGTACGGCATGCGTCACGAGCTAAAGTGCAAAGTTAAAAGTCTATACTACACCATAGGGCGCAGACTGGGTAGTCGTGCAGCGATATCCTTCAGGGGCTGGCATACAGAGAGGCCTGTCGTGTGCAGCCAGCTGGGTAGGCTGTTCCTGCGTCGGAGCCTCTTCGCAAAAAGACCCTTGATCAGTGGCTGCTTATCGCCGACAAACGAACGAGTGGCTGTTTATCTCCGGATGGACGAACGACAGCGGTCACCCCTGCATTCTCGCTGATAGAATCGCAAGCAAGCTTTGGTTCGGCTCACCGAGTTAGGGATCACCGAGTTTCGGTACGGAGTACTCCTCCGCCGCATAGCCCACCACGTAGGTGAAGATTTACAAGCCAAGGAATCCATCGACCATTCCTCCATGCTTGAGGCCAGTATGTATGCTCGCCAACAAACTGCCTAACGTTAAGCTAACAGCTAACTAACTATCTAGACGGCACCCACGTGGATTGCGCACATCCCGGGTGGCAAGAACATGAAACAACAATCCCTAGCCTTCCGACTTGACTTCATCTGTCGTTCCTACCGCTCTCGCGGGATAAGGCTATTTTCGGAGATTTCCGTCCTTCTCGAAGGGAGGGGAGCGTCTCCGCGGAGGCTGAAGAAGAAGGAAGGAAGGATCATCAAACTCACATCGCTAATACTAATTAATTGTCGATCAGGAGGAGGAGAGACACCTGTCCGATGCTTATTGATCCGTCCGTCGATGGGAATGACACGTGGGTCACGAGCGTTATTTCTTTTTTCTTTGCGACCTGGAAAAAGGCAACCCCTGGCAAAAAAGGCAACTAACTACTATGAAGATTTTTTTTTAGCCGCCATCATTCCGGCGCATCGAACTACTGGCATGACTTACTTACGTACGAACGGACGGACGAATTAGCTAATGTAGCTTCCAATGCAGGTGACCAGGTATGTATGCACAGTACATACATGCGTGCGCAGTGCAGCCCTAGTCTAGCCTAGCCTGAAACTGCAGGTCAGTAGTACTAGCACATTTCTTTTTCTTTTTCTTTTCGTTTCTTTTTCCTTCTTCGTTTTCGTTTCGTGTGCTTTTTTTTTTGAGCCTCATCCCTTACCCTACCCCTACCTCACTACCCTACCTCACCTCACCTCCCAAAGAGGAAATTCATAGCCGAAGACGGATGGATCCCGTCCCGTCGATGGATCGATTATCGATCCATGGATCTGGATTATGGCTCCCGTCTGCGGGCCGCGTACAATGCCCGGGCATTCTCATTATTAATTATGCACATTGTGAGATCGGATCCTTGGTTGTGCGGGCTAGGCTTAGGTCATTACTCCGTACATGGGTATGTCGGCTTCAATGACTTATATAGGGTTACTTATGTAGGTAAATAGATTGGTTCCTCTTTTTTTCTCTCTCTCTTTTCGATTGATTTCATGCTAATGTCAAAGTAACAATAACACCATATATACGGGAAATTAGAAAAATAGAAATATATGTAGAAACGCAAATGCATGCCGATCTAATTAATTAATCAATTAATTACTGATCCCTCACTGAAAACTCTGCTTCAAAATGTACGGCTTCCTCGAGTCCAGGTCGAGGATCATCTGTCCGAACAAGCCGTTGACCCACGCGAACCTGATATCAGAACTGTTAGCATGTAGAAAAACTGCGAAATGCGCGTGAATGAATGCCTACCATGGCCTCGTGTAGTCAGACTGATTGTACGCGTTGATGCTTTCGTGTAGAAGACCTGTAGATACAGTACCGACTGGTCAGTGGAGTGTCCTTCTTATTTTTTTTATTGTAGGCTGCAGCTGCACATACCGAGCCCGTTGGTGCTGCTCAGCAACAGCTTCAGATTGCTCGTGATTTCCTCGTCGTCGTCCGTCGTGAAGATCCGCATGATGACCGACATCGGCCACACGTAGCCCGGCCCCGTGTGAGGGCTGCCAATGCCGCTAATCACCGGCCCGGCCATGTAGTAGGGCTGGTCCTCGCTGAGGAGCACCTTGCGAGTCGCCTGATACACCGGGTCGTTCTTGTCCACGTACCCGAAGAACGGCGCGCTCAGCAGACTGGGGATGTTGGCGTCGTCCATGATATTGCGCGACCCGTACCCGTCCACCTCATATGCGTAGATGTTGTCCTGCCCGAATATCGAGTTCGAGATCGACGTGATTCCGTACTTGGAAATCGCCTGCCGGATCTCCGCTGCGAAGCTCTGCATCTCAGCTGCCAGACCGGGCTGGCCCACCGCGGCGGCTATCGCCGACGTCGACTGGAGGTACGTCGCAAACATCATGTTGGCTGGGATGAATCCTTGGTAGATCGCGGCGTCGTCTGACGGTCGGAAGGCGGACCGCACCAGTCCCGTGCCCGTCTTGAACGGGTTGCCGATGCCGTTGTTGTCGAGCGTGTCTTCGCTGCTCGATGTTGTCCGCGAGAAGGTGTACGGGCTGGTGTTCACGCTTCCGTTGCTGGAGTACGTGCCGATCTGCATGGCCCTGGTCTCGTTGAGGATGGCCCGCACCGTGTCCAGCCACTGGTACTTGCCAAAGAAGGCGGCGTCCTTCGTCGCGCTGTAGTAGTCGCTAGACACTTCCAGGAACGCCGCCAAAGAGTCCAGTTCGTACTTGCACTCGAACACTGTCTGGTTGCTGTACGGCGGGAAGACGGTGTCGTCGTGTGATGCGCCGTTCTGCACCGGCGGGAGACCCGATTCCTTGGGTGGTTGGAACGCCTGGCAGAAGGGGTTCTCGAGGATGTAGCGCGACTGTAGATTGATCACGCCGCGATACAGAGAGGCGATCGAGTTGCTCGACGAGTTGCGTCTGAGGACAGGCAGGTATGATTGTAGCTGGTTCGCCGAGTCGCGCAACCACATGGCGTCACTGAATAAAGTCAGAACGATGGTCAACCATACGCTAGGATTGTGAGAACATACATATCACCAGTAATAACGAAGCAGAGCTCCTCGTCTGACCCCTCGGCGTGGCCTCTCCATTTGATGGTCGTATCCAGCGTGTTCGGCCAGCTGTTCTCAAACAGGCGGAACAGATCCGGGTCGGCGATGGTTCTCTTCATGCGCGCTATCGTCTGCTCGACCTCCGGCGAGACAAAGGTTCTGCATTCTGGTGGCGGCCGCATTGAGGATAGATGGTACCGCCCTGATGAGAACGGCCCATGGGGTTGCGATACATATGACGTGTAGTCAGTGGGACAGGAAGTATTCGCCGCCCACGCTGCTGCGGCGGATAAGACCAGACTGAGGACGAGCATTTTGTCTGGCAATTGGGAATTTCAATGGACAGAAAAGGTTCAATGTTGTTTGAGGAACTGATTGTCCCTGGGAGGAACTCCACGTTTTAATATGGAGACGCATCTCTTCTCCACTTAAAATCAAAGTTAAATAAAACATTCCGATGAGCGGGGTAGCGTCGCACAAGCTGGGGACGGCGTATTGATAGCATGCATCGTCGCGCGCCTATCCCTTGCCTGGCGTGGTAGCCCTTGTGGAGCAGTTTTTTGGAAAACCAAAAAGAAAAGTAAATGAAGGAAACGACGCTCTGTATCAATTTTCAGTCAATTCGATCTTCAATTCAATTCATGCCCTTCTCAACTCTTGCACGCGTCCAGCTTCGAACTGAACAGCTGCTTGCTTCCCGGAGCTCTATCCGAGGGATACAACACGTGGGTCCGAGCATTCTGGGGTTTCCACAACTTCTCCGCATGGCACGTTACATCGACTGATGACGACCCTAGGAACGAATCTCATTATTCTTACTAGTAACTTTTCCCACCTATCACATGTCTTCTCGCAAAGCCACATGGCAAGCAGGTAACATTGTGAAATAGGAGATTGAAGCTTTTCTTAGTTAAGGTTCAGGGGCAGTGAGGTAGTGGAAGGGTGGAGAGGGAATACTTGACGAAAACAGGCAAGTAAAGTACATACCAACATGATTATAGGATTTAACACATCCTTATGGAGAGGTCTTCCTGGTTCCGATTTGAGAGGCTAAAGGAGCTCGACTTCATTAACCAAGCAAGAAGTGGATAGCAATGCCAGATCTCGATCTTTCATACTAATCACGGCTCGTTAGTGTAGATGAGACCAAACTTTATCTCCATACATGCGAAGTTGCGTCGATTTTCCGACCATGATAATCCATTCACGGATGTCTCGCCAGACAGAATTTCTTGCGCCTCCAGCTAACACTTGACGTGATATGAACGCACCCACCTCTGCCGGACATATCTTGCAGGTGTCTCAGCAAGTCGTGGAGATCCATCAGGAGAGCGTTGTGATCCTCGCATATCCGGGCCGAGTCAAAGTCAATCAGACTGGCCTTCCCTCTATGAATGAGCAAGTTGTGTCGATGGACATCCCATGCCGCATCCCCAACCGGTGCAGTCAGGACAATTCCTGACAGGCAGAAATGTCATCCTCGTAGTCTCGAAGTAGGGATCTCCCACTCGAACCGGGCAAACTTGGCGACCACGGGAATAAACCGTGTGGATGTGACCTCGACCCCGATCGGAGCTTCTCTAACACAATTTCGAGGTAGTCGATGTAGGTTTTTCACTCCGTACTTAATCCTCGGAAACGCGGTACGGCCCGTGCACAGGAAAGTTTGCGGGTCTGTATATTTTTTTTTGCCACCAGCCTAGTCTCTTGGGGGTAAAGCTGGAAGGGGTCAAATTCAAAACATGGGGTCTAACGTGTATCATCCAAGGTCGATGACCAAGCCGCGGATGTCACTCTGATCATCCTCGTCGACGCTGGCCTGGAGCAGCTCTACCAAAAAGTGTTGCACATTGTTGCCGGAATGGGAGACGGAGATAAAGCCACCGTTCGCAAGGAGAGCAATAAATTGCAGCGTGGTAGGTTGGATACACCAAAGAATCGAGACGTGTATTGACAGATTAAAATGGCGCTATCCCATGAAACACGAGATAAGGAAGGTTGGTCCCTAGTCAGGAACGGGATCGTGAAGAAAGATGACTAAGAATCCAAAAGTACCTGGCATTAAAATATTTAAGTTTCACAATATGGCCTGAAACGTCAAGCTATCGGGTATCTCATTCTTTCGAGTGATTTTAGGGAAATTTCCAAACTCTGTGGCCAATAAGGCACAACTTACAACTTTTTGATGCAAGTACTTCGGATCCACCAGGTACCTGCTAACAAACTTCTGAGGGTGCAGGCCTGGCTTCAACCTTAAGACAGGCGTTGTTGCCCTTTCTCCCGGGCAAATTCAGTGGCATTGACCAATCACTTTACTCGATGAAGCTCCGCGTGCAGCTACTGGGACCCCTGGATTTCAGCGTCTACGGAACAGATCAGCGTTGGGAGCTGCAGCCAGCGATTTCCCAGCCGGAGACCCTGGTGTTTGTCGCTCATATTCGATACTGTCCCAGCCTGATGCTGGCTGATGAGCCTGCCATCAGCCGCGATCCGGATTAAAATCCGTCAGCGGAGAGCTCCGGTCACCGACGCTGGGCGGGTTGCCCGTTGGGGCCGAGACTGACAAAGTGATTGTTGGGCGCGGTTACGGGCTGCTGATTGTTCATACCAGGCAAAGCTGCGCCTCCAACAACCCTGCAAGCGACAAGGGACGTGGATCGTGATTGTTTCATCAAGCCTGTCTTCACGGTTAGCGTACTAGCATATCTGCTGCAATTGCCCATCCATACTTGCTCCGATCTCGAAGAGCCTCATGTTGTCGATCACTACGAATCTCGTCTCCGCAGCCACGTCAGCCACAAGCCACCAACTGGTGAGGTGTAAACAGGGTTAAGGTGATCCTGGATCGGTTCCGTTTCGAGTCACCGCATCGACACCGACAATTGGGGGATAGCTTGGTAGATGGAGGAGGATGGAGATGGAATCTCGATGTGGTGGCGCCAATCCATCCTGCCGATCGATATTTCAAGTAATGGAAGTCATCCTGGCTTCTGGGCGTTGGCAATATTAGGATTAATGCTCCATCGTGGGGATGCTGCAAAGAAGCGGTCAGTTGTAACGGGCACAGATGGCAGGTGC